CGCGGCCAGGTGCCCCGGCGGCGCGGGACGGGCTGTGCGGGCGCCGCTCTGCCCCGGCGCGGGATGCGCCTGGAGCCCTTGGAGGCGCGGGCGGGCGCCGCAGGGGCGCCGGCGGAGCCCTCCGCTCCCGCCCGGGGGAGCCGCCGCCTTGCCTCCCTGCCTTCCGCGGCGCGCTCCCGTGCCGAGGCTGGAGCCCTGGCCCCGATCCTGGCGCTGAGCGCCCGGAACGCCCCCTGGCCCCTCAGGCCCTGAATGGGGGCCGTGGGGCTGCCCCCTCAGACGCTTGGGGCGCCCGTTGAATTGACAGCAGTTCATGTTGCGTGAGTCAGACACACACGGTGACAAGCAGCACATCAAACGGTTGGAGGCCAATTCATCGTTCTGTGAGGATCGCTCGTGTGCAGGGGTGTTTAGTTCGTTGCCTCACAGACTTAATTGTTACGGTGAATATTGTGTGTGTGTGTGTCTAGGATAGACGCCTGTTTCCCAAAGAAAAATTCATATAGGAGGTCCATATTTCATGCTGCCTCATTTCACCTGGATTCACTATGTTAGATGTTGAAATTGTGTACTGAGGCTGCTGTGTTTTAATAGTGCTGCGTAGTGACTCGGGGCTTAACCCTTGGACAAAACATCTGAATGGTAGCCATGTCCCCTGAGCAACCCAGGATGTTGTAAGAGGGCAGGTGAGTGGTGGTACATAGAGGCCTTCAGCTTGTTTGGCTTGGTGGTGATTCAGGTTTGCTTCATATCCTTTCAGTATTTTGTTGCAAAAGTTCGGTAGCAATTTGGGTGGGAAATGAGCAAGTCATGTCCCCTTTTCAGCTTTTGCACATGAATGGCACTCTGAAGAGATAGCCGTCAAGAAATTGCATTGCATCCTAAACTTGGCAGTTCTGGACTTCTTGTGGTCCTTTGCAAATGGTCCAGCCCTGCTGTCCAGGCCAAGCAGGCCAAGTGCCCCCTTCTCCATGGCTATTGAGGGCTGCGTCTTTCCTCTTCTGTACAAGCTGTTCTTACTGGGCCAGGTCTCACTGGTCTTTTCCAGCCTGGTGCCTGCTATTGATGTGGAGGAATCTGCTTTGGACAGAAAATCCACTGGATCCGATGGGTCTGTCTTCCTGGAGGCCAGTCCACTTTGTGGCAGCCCAGAGCGCATCCCGGCCTTCCAGGAATTGAGTCCCATGTGCTGCTCAAGCAGCCCCGTTCTTACCTGCCTGCCGCTGCGGCTAGTCGCCGTGAGCGAGGAAGAAGTGTAGCCACTGGGCATGGCGGCCCGACGCTGCGCCCCCTTCCCCTGAGTGCTGGTGGCGGCGGTGGCAGCAGGTGAGGGAGAAGGCTGGCCACCTGGGCCAGAGTGGCACCTGGGGCAGGTTGCTGGTTGTGTGGCTGGGGGTCCACGAGCATCGCTGGGCTTTCTCTTGGCTCGGCTCCCTTGTGGGAGCAGGCCAAGCATGCCTGGAGGTCCGTGAATTCTGGAGGGAGGGCGTCAGAGACGGTTCCTCCCAGCCCTAGTGCCTGCCAGGTGCTTAGGTGTACAACTTCTAGGATTCCTGTCCAGTGCTGTGGCTTGGAGTGGAATTCCAAAATTCCTGGGGTTGAGGAAGGCTGCTTGTAGCGGGTAAGCGTGTGAGTTACGCAAAACTCTTCCATAAAGCGGGGATGTAAGAACAGCCGCTTCCTGACTGTAAAGCCCGTTGGTCACTGATGGGGACAGGTAAACCTGTCTGATTTTGGGAAGCAAGATGGCAGTGCTTATAATTATATAGTGCCTCACAGGTGTTCCAAGCCTTCCAGGTTGCACAGGTTGGAGTGGATTCTCAGGACTGGCAGGCTCAGGTACGCAGGTGTCTAGCGTGTTGCTCCACTGCCGTGTTGACAAACCGTGGTTGGGACACTGCGTCTCTGCCGCTCCCGGAAGCCACTGGCATTCCATTCCATGATGTTCCACATGCAGCGTGGAAAGAATTGCTCTAGAGTCTGCCTTTCTCGGGAAGGACCAGTGCAGCTGGCATCGTATTGGAAAACACCGAGATATGAAAAGAGGATGATTCCAGTAATCCCCAGGGACATCAGTTGGCACATGTGATGGCTTAGCGCAGGGGCCGAATTCAGGGTCAGAGAAGATCTGTGGGGGATTGTTCTGGGGGGGGGGGGCAGGGCTGCGCTAAGAGGGGGAGCGGAAATACCAGCCTGTTGGTCACCCGGCGGTGCTGTGGCTGCGGCCTATGCCGTTTTCTGGCCTTTGAGAGACTCGGTGCCCCGTCCCCAGCTGGCATCACTGTAGGCTCCCTTTCAGCCTCTCCTGACTCCCCCAGCTGCTTCAGTCTGGTGCCTCCCCACCAGCAGCCCCCGTCTGCCCCTGGCAGAATGGCTGGGGACGGCAGAAGCCGAGCGCAAGACATCTGGTGGGTGTGAGGTCGGGGAGGGCTACGCGTGCGTCGCAGGGAGGCGGGCGGGAGTCCTGGCGCCTTCTTTGAGGGGGTGTCTGTGAAGCCGGTTGCCGCAGAGCTTTTTGGCGTTGGGTCCACCCCCAGCCTGGCTGGGGAAGAGGGCCGCCAGTCCTGCTGCAGAGTTTGGGCAGCTGGGCTTTGGACCTCTGGCCTGTCAGCTGCTGTTCTGAATTGCCCTGACGATAGCCGGAGCCCCGTGGGCCATTGCTGGCGGCGGAGGGCAGGTGCCTTGGCTGCAGGCCGCAGGGTCTCCAGCCATCCTCCCGTGTGGGTCGGCCCCTTCTCCTTTCCTCGATGGTGTGGCTGGCCAAACATGCGGCTCTTCCTTCCTTCCTTCCTTCCTTCCTTCCTTCCTTCCTTCCTTCCTTCCTTCCAGGGCCGTGAAGCCCACCTGGATGGTCTGGTTCACATGGCCACAGCAAACCTGACTCCCCCTGGCTCCCTGGAGGTCAACCAGCCGGGGTTTCCCAAGGAGATCCTGGGCACCGAGTTGGAGGGCAAGTACCTGTGCTCAGACTGCAGGAACATCTTGAGGCGGCCGTTTCAAGCTCAGTGTGGCCACCGGTACTGCTCCTATTGCCTGAAGAAAATCATCAGGTAGCGTCCCTTTGGCTCTGCAGAACGCAGGGGGAGGGGTTGCCCCGAAGGCTCTCCTTCGAGCCGGGGTGGGCTGCCAGCTCTCCCCGTGCGTGCCAGTACATGCACCCTCCCCTTCGCGTCGCACAGTGCAGCCTTCTGCAACCTGATGAGTCCCGGCTGCGCCAGGCTGCCCCTCCTGGCCTTCTCTCGACCACCCGGCCGTGCTGGGTGTCGTCGCCTGGTCTGAGGGGCTGGGGAAAGCTGCCGTGATGCAGCCCAGCAAAATGGGGAGCCACACGGGCACCCTGAAGCGGTGCAGCCTTGAACAGGGTTCCGACTTGGTCAGCGGTTCGTGTGGGCGAGGCCTTGGATCCAGAGGTGCTTGGAGGGGGGGGTGAGTCCTGCAGCGTGGCCAAGTTCCCGTCCTCGCCCCTCTGGAACTAACCCAGAAGCCACCTCAAGAAGCAGCTTAAGGACGAGGCAGCCACCAGCCGGCTGGGGGTGGCATTGGATTTTGCTGTTTACGTGTCTCTTTTCCAACCAAAAAACATGAGGGGGGGCTGGGGGGGACAGGGCAGGAGCTGTGCAACTAAACAACTTTGCAAGGAAAGTTGTACATGGCTGGCTGGCTGGCTGGCTTGCGAGTATTGCAAGCATCACTCGTTTGCAAAACAAAATTAACCTGACAGCCAAGGAGGAGCAGTGCTCCCTCCCAGCCTGCAGAGTCTTCCCAGCCTGGCCACCTGGAAGCAGCTCTCGCTACGGCCAGGCACCCCAGCTGTTTCCCCACCCCGTCCGAGCGAGCTCAGCAGGCTGCAGTGGAAATCCTGCTGAAGTCTGTTCTCATTTCCTGCTGGATGGCGAGCAGGAGTGACGCATGCCTGGGCCTCCACGAGGGAGCCCGTTTCCTTGGCCCGGCAACCGAGCGGCCTTGCTGCATGGCTGGCTGCGAGGGCCACGCCGGAGCGCCCTCAGGCCGCCCCTGCTGACTGCCCGTTTGCGTCCTCTGCCAGCTCAGGGCCACAGAAGTGCGCGGTGTGTATTCAGGAGGGGATCTACGAAGAGGGCACGTCGATCTTGGAGACTGGTTCGGTAAGCGAGAACATGCCGGAGGAGGGCGCACGGAGGGGGACCAGCTTCTGCGCCGCTCTGTTTCTGGGGAACGCGGGGTGGCGTGCACGGCCGTTTCCCCCCGCCCTCACAACAGGCCTGCAAGGTAGGCTGCTGTGGTGCTCCCTCCCTTTGCGGACGACGAGGGCACTGAGCCTGGCGGGGTGGGGACTGCCTTTAAGGCCGCTGGCCCTTTGGCTCTCCAGGGGGTGCTGGACAGTCGTCCGCGGCAGTTCCCGTTGCCACCGGTGGCTGATGCGCCGGCTGGTTCGCACCTGAAGGGCTCCTGCCACCAGCTGCCCCAGCCTCTTCTTGTGCCCCCCGCTCGCGGCAGATAAGAACCAAATCAAAGCTGCGTGGGAAACACGTCTGTGGTCCGGAGAGGTTTTTTTGGAATTCGGCTCTTGTTTCTCCTTCACCTCCCGCAGCCAGGTCACCATCTGCACAAGGAATCAGTTCCCCGTGTTCTTTAAAAGTTACGCATGTGTGTATTGCTAATATTTGTTTGTTCCCTTTTTTGAGGCTTTCCCAGATAATGCAGCTCGCCGAGAAGTGGAGAGTCTTCCGGCGATCTGTGTGAATGAAGGCTGTACGTGGAAAGGAACGATAAAAGAATACGAGGTAAGGATCTGCATGAAGCGCCCCCGCCCCTTCATAGCTGTCGGAAAAGAGCTTCCTGGGAAATCCCCCTCTTGCCCGAAATGCCAGAGACTCGCATGCAGAAGTGCGGCAAGGAGAGGAGAGGGTTCCCAGGGTGGAACGCGGCTTTTTTAAAAAGCAAGCGGGAGGAGGTGGGCGCTGTTCCTCTGCCCTCCGCGGCTTCCTCCCTCTCGGGAGGAGAATGAGCGATGCTGTGTGCACGTGTTTGCGTTTGTGTAGTTCGTGGAACGGTGCTCCAGCCCAACTGGAGGGTGCCTGGTTGCAGAAGACTGGCAGAACCTGAACCTGGTGTAGAATTCCCACCGGCCGTCTGCTTGCGGTGGCTGTATGGAGGCGGCCCAGGGAGATGTCGTGGAGAGAGCGCGCGCTGTGTTTTCCCTTGAGGCACCCTTGAGGGGTCTCTTGGGCTTTGTTGCCCGTTGCCCGTATTCCGCGTTCCTTCTGCGTTCGGTGTGCTTGTCATGAGGCCTGGTTTATCCTTCCTCCTTTCGAGCATCTTGTTCGTGTGCGGAGGTGGCCTCCTCTTGTGCTCTCCCAGAAGCGGAGAGAGCTGCTTCCAGGGAGGGCCGCCAGTGCTGGGGTGCGTGGGCAAGCACCCCGGGTGGAGGAGAGGGCCGCCCACAGGCTGTGCTGGGGGCACTCTGTGCTACCCCCGGGCAGACGGCCACACTCGCTGGTTGATGGGACACGTATGGGGGACAGAGGCTGCGGCCGCCCCCCTGACCTGCCTGTGGGTTTCCCATGGGGGCGGCTGTTGGCCGCTGCTGGAACAAGAGCGATGGTCGAAACGAGCCCTGGCCCCTCCTCCGGCTCTCGAAGGCAAGGGAGTGTCTGCCTGTGGGGCAGAGCTCGGGGCGCCCGCCTTGTGCTTCGAAGGCCTCTGAGGTCTTGGGGCACAGGCGAGGAGCCCATGCAGCTGCCCGCAGAACCCGGGGCACCCGGGGCTGTTGTGTGCCGCCAGGGGCTCTGCGGGCCACGTTCCTACCTGGGAAGGAGGCCGGGGTGTGGGCTGGGGACCAGCTGCACGCAGTGAGCGCTGCCCGCCGAACTGGCGTTTCTCGGGCTTTTGGGAGCTGCTGCCCGTCGGGCTGAGATGGGTCGGCCGGGGGCTCTTAGTGTGGCAGGGGAGCCCCCCCCCTCCTCACCCGGGAGGGCAGGACGTGCTGCGAGACGAGACCTGCCCGGTGTGGCTTGAGCGTGGCTGAAGCGGCATTCCCGGCCCTTCCCGGGCCCAGGAGTGGGGCAGGATGCAAGTCTGCCCTTGGCAGGAGCCCGCGGGGAGGGCGGGGAGGGTGCGTGGTGACCTCTCGCTGCTGCGGAGAAAGGGCGCGCCGGTGCTTCCAGTCCGGAAAGTCCCTGGCAGGGCCCTGCCTCCGACTGAGCCGCCTGGAAAGCCCCTAAAATACCGGCTCGCTCTGCTATGCAGCCGGAGCGGCGGCCGCCGCGTTGTGCAAGGGAGAAGGCTCCTCTGGGTCCGAGGTTTTCCCTGTGTTGTCCTCCGGAGGAGGTGGGAGGCGAAGGGAAGCGGCCCCCACCCTCGCCGCCGGGGCCATGCTCTGCTTCCAGCCGCCTCTCCACTTTTGCTTTCTCTTTAAGGGAAGGGGGGGGGGTCACAGCGTTGCCTCACAAAAGCCGAGCAAGACCCAGGGGCATGCAGCTCTTTCAGAAATCGCAGCAGGCGTCTTCGCAGATCTGGGAAGCTTTTCCGTCTTCTGGCATAGGTCAGAGCTGGACTTGTTTCCCTCTCTGTCCCCCGCACCCGCACCTCACTTTAAACCTCAGGATGGAATGGAAATCCAGAAATAAGTCCCTTTTATTGTATCTTTAAAAACTCGGGCCACAACCTTCCTTCGTTTCTGCAGTGGATGTGTTCTTGGCACAACATTTCTGTGGGATGCTTGGATGGAAGGCTCTGTGCAAGTTTCTACCCCTCATGGGTGCTGGTATAAGCTAACACACGAGGAAGGAATAGATAGCGAAACCTGACGGGCCAGGCGGTGCGCTCAGTATCAGGGGGACGTGCTCAGCGCTGTGCAGATTGCGATCGTGTGTTTTCCCATGTTTACAGCTTGCCTTTGCCTCCCCTCCTGCCCGCACCCACACCGGTATGTTAGAACTAGAATAAAAACAACCACAAAGACTCATGTAACACCCGGCCGGCAGGGATTGCGTTCTGCAGGGCCCTCCGCTGGTGCTTCCGCAGACAGATGCAGATAAGCCCTTGTTCTTTGGGTTAAGATAAGGGGCTGGTGGTGCAGGGCTGCTGCGCAGGCTGAGCAGAGACCCCCCCACACCCCGGTCGTCTTGGTTTAAACTAAAGTAATAACGGGAACATCACGTTAAGGTCTGAGGAGGTGGGGGGGTGAGAATTGGGGATCTAGCCGTGTTTCCTCTGGCATGACTTGGCGCCTGGGTGCAGCTTGCACCAGTGTTCCCGGCTGGGGAGGATGGGGCTCATCGGCCAACACATCCAGCCGGAGGCTGGGTGTCTGGGTGGCTCTGGAGCGGGCCCAAGTGCTGGCAGATGGCGACTGCCTTGTGCGGAAGCCCTGGTGGGGTTGGCGGGGGGCAGCCAGCTCAGCTCAGGCCCCGACTGGAAGCCGGGCCTCCAAGGAGCGCCGCTTGCGCTGTGTGGCGTCACCGGGCCGAGCTCGCGCGCTGGAGCCGCGCAGGCAGATAGCATCAGCCATGTGGGAGGTGGGTTCTGGCAAGTTTCAGATGCAAAAGTGGGTGGCTGGAAAGTCCCGGCGAGGCAGCGAGCTACCTCTTTCTGCACCCCCATGCAGAAGAGCCCCGGGGATGCTGGCTGCCTGCCTGCCTGCCTGCCGTCTCCCCTCCACTCGCCCCGGCCGTTGAACTGGCTGGCCGGGGGAATAGAAGTGCAGCCAGTCAGCAGGGCATAGGTGGAGGGCGCAGGGCAGAAGGGGACGCTGGCCTAGGGAAGGGAAGGCCCCAGCCTCCCAGCCGCCGCCTCTGCCCCGGAGGCCCTTGGCTGCAGGGGGCAGAAGGGACCTGACGCCCCCTCTTCTCTCTGCCCAGGGACCCTCGGGAGGGACTGCCGTGCGTGCAGAAGGCCCAGTCTCAGCCCTCGGCTCCCTGGGGCAGTGTCGCTAGTCGGGGGCAGCACGACTGGGCCGTGGCGTGGGGAGCGTGGCGCCCGGCTGGGTCCCGCGTGCCTCCCTGGCGCTCGGGCTGCCGAGGGTCCTCCCCGGTGCCTCCTGCGGCCGCCAGCACCGGCACCTGTGCAGCAGCAGCAGCGCCGAGCGGCGACGCTGGCCTTCCTGGGCCCCGCTCCGGCGGCTCTTCCCGGCAGCTCCCGGCGGCCAGCTTTGCGTCGCCACGGCGGGTGGCCCGGTGGCGACGCCGTCCTCCCCGTGCCACGTACTGAAGCGCGCCGCTCCTTTCGCCGCAGAGCTGCCACGAGGGGAGCTGCCCTTTCCTGCTGGTCGCGTGCCCGGCGTGCCAGGCCCTGGTCAGACTGAGCGGGAAGGAGCACCATGCCGAGCGGGAATGCCCCGAGAGGAACCTCAGCTGTAGATACTGCAAAGCGCTTTTCTACTTCCCTGAGATTAAGGTATGGACCGGAGCCGCCCCCCCCGCCGAGGCCCCCAGCGCTGGGGGGATGTCGCCCGGCGGCTCCTCTCGCGTGGGCATGCTGGACTGCCGCGCTCGCCCTTCTCCCCGCACTGGGGGCTGCGGCCTGGCTCGGGACGCGTGGTCGCGGCACTCCCCTGCTCGAGGCTCGGCTGTGGCGTGGGCGCCTCCGCGCATCGCCCGGCCTGCTAGGCAGCTGGTGTCGCTGCCCCCCCCCCCCCCGGTCCTTTGGTATGTGCGCCAAGAAGATGGGCCAAGAAAGCAGAACGTGGGCCTTCGCTGCAGCGTTGGCCACGGGGGCCGTGTCCCTCTGGATCCCTGCGCCAGGGCTGCCGGTGCCTGGATGGTTGTCAGAGGGGGCGCTTGCGAGCGTGAGGCGGCGGCCTCGTTGCCGGCGCAGGTGGTGTGCCTGCCGGTCCCGTGTTTTCCGGAGGGCGGGAAACGGCTCGTCGCCAGCCAGGGACCCGTCACTGCAGCGTGCGAGGAGGCGTCGGAGGGGAGGCCTGATGTCTGTGTGAGTCTGTGAAGGACAAGGCGGGCGCTGAGCACGGGGCGGCATCGTGGGAGCTGTCCTCGTGTGGGGGCCGGGCGCGGGGCAGCCCCACCACCACTCAGTTCCGGCTGCTGTGCTGTTGCGTTCCCGTGGCCTGAGTCACGGTGCAGCTGGAAGTCAGAGCTGCAGGCAGCTAATCCTGGGATGGGGTAACCCCTGCCCAGGGGTCCCGTGGGGGTTGCTACCCCCCAACTATCCTAAACTGCAGCTCTCCCAGACAAGCAGAGTCCCGCAGGAGCTAGCCCAGCCTTCCCCAGCCTTCCCTGTTGCGTTTGTCTGGACATCTGGGGCAGGTCCCAGAATTCCTCCCACCAGCTGTGCTGGGGCCAGGTCCCTAGGCAGCCGAGGTCCTCACCAGCTCCCTGCACGTCGAACGCTAGTTTTTCACAAAAAGCCAGCAACATGCGTCACGAAGGCGCCTGGATAATTGCGAGGCATGAGCCGAACTAGACGGCCCCATCACAGGAGCATTCGTGGCGTCTAAGAGTTCCAGCTGCCGAGCTCTGAAGGTCTCGACCTTATCAGGGCCGTTCAATCCAAGGATGCCAGGGAGGCCGGAGCAGTTGCTGGAGAGATTTCAAGCGGAGACAGGGAGACGGAGAGTCTTGCGACTCCCCACTGGTCAGCGGATGGAGTGGGGGGGACCTGAGGGAAGGGCGAGCGAGGGGGGCCGTGGGTCTCCTCCCGACGGTGCCCTGCTGCTCTGCCGCCTGGGGCCGGGCTGTCGACCTACAGGCCTTGCACAGGCGTGGAGGAGTGCAGTGCGCTGCCTCCTCTCCTCACGAGGTGCGCCTGGGCAGGGCAGCGGGTCGCCTCTGGCTGCGCATGTGATCCGCTGCTCCCTACTCTGCCCAACCCTTTGCTTCCCCCTATTTAATCCCCCTCGTCGCATCTCTTCCCCCACCCCCACGTGCTGCGGTTCTAGGCCCCTGCAACACGGTTCGAGTGAGGCGTGTGGTAATTTCAGTCCCTGAGCTGTGGGACGGCCAGAGCGTGTGTAAGACAACCCCCTGCTGCAGCCGGGAGAGGTGGGGGGGGGAGAGGGGATTCCCCGTGGTGTAATGTTGCAGCGTAGAATTAGACTCCAGGAGTAGAATAACGGCACCCCGTCTCGCAGTTGAGGGTTGGGTCTGCGGACGCAGAAGCTGGTTAAGCTCGTCAAGGTGCGTGCAAGGCATTGCCTTAAATCCTAAAGATTTAGGCCGCCTTGGCTAGGTTCACTTGCCTTGTAGGGGTGGGTTCAGTATTTTGCCAAAAACCCCAAACAAAACAAGAGTGTCTGTCCACCTGATTTCAGAAAACATGAGGCAGGTGGACAAACTGGGGCATTGCTCTGGAGATGTGTTTGAATTCTGAGCACCACACGACGGGTATTTTATTGCGATCCTGTGCATGTTTGGCCAGACTGGAGTCCCGCAACGCCCCACATGTTCCAGCCACCCACGGGAAGGAGCCCGGTCCGGCTGTTGTGACGCCCTGAGGCGGAGGCGTCCGGACAGCTTCGCCTGGGGAGCTTCTCCCCGGATTCGGCTGCAGTCAGCTGAGGGGCAGGTTGCACCAGCCCGTTCCGAGCATCGGGGAGCGCGTCCGCTGCGCCTCCTGCAGGCCCCCTGCGCGCCAGCTCGTTTTTCTTCTGCTCATCTCCTCCCTTTAGGCTGTGTGGTTGTGTGTGGTTGAAAGACGTTAATAACTGCATCTCGCTTTTACTGGGCCCAGAGAAGCCCCTCTTCAGCAGACCCTCTTCTGTTCCTCGCGGCAGCAGAGGGTCCTGATCGCTTCCGCTGAGGCCGCGAGGCTTTCAGACGCCTGAGGGCAGCTGCTGCTCCCTTGTTCAGCATCGCCGCTCCGGGTCGGAAGCACTTGGGAAGGAGACAGGAAGGTCAGGGACTGGCGATGGCCGGGGACTGTGGGGTGAGACTGCTCCCCACTCCCTAGAAGCACTCTTTCAGACTCGGTGCGAGAGGGAAGTTCCAGGCGCTTTTGCTGGCCTCTGGGCCTCTTGTTTGCGGAGGACGGAAGGTAGCGTTGCTCCCTGGGATGCGGCAGCCGACCGTGTCTCCCTGGCCAAGGCACCCAGGCTGTCCTTCTCCGAACAGACCGGGCGCTGCTTTCAGGAACAGACCCTGAGAGGGCGGTTGCCGAGTCCTGGATGGGGTAAAAGGGCCCTGATGGAAGATTAAGAGGAAATGGTGGCCTTTTCGTGCTTTTCCAGGAGGAAAGAGGCTCCTGCAGAACAGAGAGGCCTCGATGGGCGTGTGAGTGGCTCGTCAGAAGCTGCCCGCCTCCTCACAGGGCAAGCGGTTCCACTGTGAATTCATTTGAAAAGTACCTTGTTCAGTTTTAAAAACTGCATCTGGAGGATGATGCAGGATCTTCCTGGGTTAGGCAAAAGTCTGGTCCACTGGTTGCCCGCTGCCCAAAAGGCAGGCGGTTCCTGGCTGCTGGTTCTGCCTGCGTGCCTGAGGCCTATTTTGAAAATGTCTCTCCCTTCTGTCTTGCCAGGCCCATGATGAGGTGTGTCCCAAATTTCCTCTCACCTGTGAGGGCTGTGGAAAGAAGAAGATCCCGCGAGAAAAGGTACCCACTCGCGGCATCCCTACCCAGAAGTGTGCTGCGGGGACACGAAGAGTAGCTCTCCCCACACCCCCAGAGCCCTGCGCTCTCCTTCGTGCACCAGGCAGCTGGGAGTGTGGCGCAGAAGCCAGGAGCGCTCTGGCGGAAGCCGTGCTTCGGCCCGCTGCAGCCGCGTCCCGGGGCCCGGGCTGTGTGCGACTCCACAGCCTGCCGCGTAGAGACGGCAGAGGCCAGCCTGGCTCCCCGGCTCTTCTCCGCCTGCTAAAGAGGGGCCTTCCCCACATCCTGACCCGATCCTTTGACCGGAGACGGCATGGGTGGGGCCTGGGCCTCGGGCGCTTTGCACGGAGCAGGATGAGCTCCAGAGAGCATCCTCCGGGCTGGGCCGCACGGTGTGTTCCGGCCCATGGACCGATGGCACACGATGGAACCGGCCCGCTGCCGCTGAGCAAGCCGGGTGAGGGGCCCCTTGGGACCGCAGGCGATGCCGCCAGGCCGGGCCGGAAGGGAGGCAGGCTGGAAGCGCTGCGAAGAACCCCCTTGGCGCTCAGGCCCGGGCAAGGGAGGCCACGGGCGTGCTGGCTCCATCGCAAACTGGCGCTTCCCTCCCTCGGCAGTTTCTAGAGCACTTCAAGACCTGCAGCAAGTGTAAAGCTCCTTGCCGATTCCAGCCGGTCGGTTGCTCCGAAGTGGTAAGCCCCGTCCCTCCCAGCACAGCAGAGCCGTGTGCCCCGAAGCCGGGGATCGGGGGGCGAGTCTCTGCAGGGAGGGGGGCCGGGGACAGAAGCCCCTCAGTCCGCCTGGGCCGTGCCGCCCAGAGCCCCCTCAAGCAGGGCGTGGCTTGCGAGGGGCAGCCTTCGCCCCCAGTGCACCGAGGAAGCGTTCCCAGGCGGGGAGGTCCACGCGCTGCCCCGGCGGGGACGGTTGCCTGGCAGAAGGGCCCCTCCCCGCCGAGCCACCCCCTCCAGCCGGCATCCAGTCACGCGTGCCGGGCAGCGGCAGGCGGTCCGCTCGCCGCGCCTTCCGCTCTCGCCGCGATCGGGGCGCCTCGAGCCCCGGCAGGGAAGCCCACGTCCAGCGCAGCCCGCCTTTCCCGACAGTCGCCTCCTGCTAAATCCCGCTGGAGCCGCGGCTGCCGAAATCGGCCTCTGCTGCAGCGGAGAAAAGCGCTTCCTTGTCTCGCGCAGGTGGAGAACGAGAAGCTGTGTGAGCACGAGAGCAAGTGCGTGGGGGAGCACCTCTGTATGCTGCTGAACTTCGTGCTGAGCCTGGGCGCTGAGCCCGGCAAGCCGCGGCCCCCGGCGAGCCTCCCGTCGGTCGAGTCCGGTGCGGGGCTGCTGGGCGGCCAGCCCTTGGTCTCCGAGGCGGAGCTCTCCGGCTCCGTGGAGCTCCTGGGCAGGTGCGAGGCTCTGGAGCGGAAGACCATCACCTTCGAGAACATCGTCTGCGTGCTCAACCGCGAGGTGGAGCGGGTGTCCCTCACGGCCGAGGCCTGCAGCCGGCAGCACCAGCTGGACCAGGAGAAGATCGAGGCGCTCAGCAGCAAGGTCTGCGTTTGCTCCCCGGGCGGCCGCGGGGGTGCGGGAGGTCAGCGGGGGGGCCGGCCTGGCGGGGAGCAAAGGGCCGTGTGAAGCGCGGCCAGGAGACGTGTGCGAGCCCGTGGCAGCCTCCCCTCAGCAGGGGCACGGAGGGCTGGGGCTCGCTCTGGGAGACCTGAGCTGCCTTCCCGAGCGTGGCCCCTCTCCCTCCTGCTGGAAGCGCAGGGCCTGGGAACGTGGCTGGACAGGCCCCGGGGCCCCAAGACCGGGGAGGGAACAGCCGCAGGGTGAGGTGCGGGCAGTGAAAGGCCAGGCAGACTCGCTTCCCTTGCCCGATGGATCGAAGGCGGAGGAGGGTGGCGGCGCAGGGAAGGCTCGCTGGGGGCCGTGTGCTGACGGGGGGGCGCTCCGTGGTGGAGTCGGCCTCAGCCCATCCCTTTCGCTCACTCAGATCCGGCAGCTGGAGCGGAGCATCGCGCTCAAGGACCTGGCCCTGGCCGAGATGGAGCACACGGTCCAGGAGCTGGAGGCCTCCACCTACGACGGCGTCTTCATCTGGAAGATCTCGGACTTCGCCCGGAAGCGCCAGGAAGCCGTTGCCGGCCGCTCACCGGCCATCTTCTCTCCGGGTGCGTGTGGGTGGAGGGGGACTTCGGATGTGTTGCGGGGGGGGGGGGGGGGGGGTTCCTTGGGGTGGACCGCGGGGTGCTCCGGGAGGGGGGGGGTGAGGGGCACCTGGGACGGGTCCTGCGCCCTTTGGCTTCTTCCTCTGGAGCTGGGTGGCCTCAGCTAGATGTGCGTTGGAGGACTGGTGCAGGCAGGAGGGGCCCATTCTCCCCAGAGCTGTTCGTGGCTCCAGAACCCCCCTCCCCTCGTTGCCTCTGCCCGCACCTCCACCCCGCGCGTCTCTGTGCTCCGGCAGCTTTCTACACGAGCAAATATGGCTACAAGATGTGCCTACGCATCTACCTCAACGGGGACGGGACCGGGCGCGGCACCCACCTGTCCCTCTTCTTCGTCGTGATGAAGGGGCCCAGCGATGCCCTGCTGAAGTGGCCTTTCAACCAGAAGGTGGGTGCGCAGGCCTCGGGGCGGGGGGCGGGCCGGGCCGAGGCGGGCGGCGTGGCGGATTCTGCCTGGGGCCGCGAGGGAGCGCTTGAGGCGGGTGGGAGCGAGACGCGGGGCAGACCGGCGGCCGCGTGCTGCCCCCTTGGCGCCAGGCGCCGCGCGGTCAAGCCGTGGGCTGCCCCGCCTGGGGCTTCACGCGGCCTCCGCCCCCCTCAGGTCACCCTGATGCTCCTGGACCAGAACAACCGGGAGCACGTGATCGACGCTTTCCGCCCCGACGTGACTTCCTCGTCCTTCCACCGGCCGGTCAGCGAGATGAACATTGCCAGCGGCTGCCCGCTCTTCTGCCCCATCGCCAAGATGGAGAGCAAGCACTCATACGTGCGGGACGACACCATCTTCGTCAAGGCCATCGTCGACCTCGCGGGCCTCTAGCGCTCCCGCCGCTCCTGCCGTGTGGCCCCTGCCCCTGGCGAGGGCGGCGTGTGTCACTCCGGAAGAGGAGGACCCTCCCGGCCGGCGGAGGAAGCGGGGCCTCCTGCCAGGCCTCCGTGGCCTCGGACACGCCGGCCACCTTGCCGTGGATCGTGTGCCTGCTGGGAGCTGGCTGTCCCTGCCCGCCTCTCCGCAGAGGCCCGGGTGCCTTGGCGCACGAAAGGGGCTTCTGTGTTCTTCCTCGGCGTGGCTCGTGCTCGTGGACGGGTTGCCCCGGCCCGGCAGGGAAGGGGCCAGGATGGCCGCGGCCCGCCTGAAGAGCCACCCTCCGGGGAGGAGGGAGCCTTGCCGGAGCCCTGCTGGCGGCAACGGGCGAGCGAGTGGGCCAGACGTGGCCGAGAGGAGCGTTGTCCGAGGGCTCGGCAGGACCCGCTGAAGGAGCCGAGCAGAGCAGAGATGGGGAGGAAGCTGGGGGGCCGGGAGCCGGGCCCGCCTCACCGTGCCCCGCCTGAGTCCCCTCTGCGTGGTCCCTGGAGTGGGTCCCGGGCTGCTTGTGGCCCTCGCAAAGAGCATGGGATGCGACCATGGGTGCCTTCCTGTGCTGTTCCCGACCCTGACCCACCCGGGTAGGCAGCCCTCCCTGCTGAGCTGCAGCCGGAGGGCCAGCCGGGCAGAGTGCAGGTCCCTGAGCTGGGCCCCTCAGGCCCTGAGGTTTCTCTGCCGCAGGGGCTTGCGGGGCAGTGAAGGTCCACCAAGTCAGGCTAGTTCATTCCGTGGCAGCAGCCATCCTTGGCAGCAGCCACGCCACGGCTGCCGGCCCGCTCCCTCGGCGGCCTACGGCTCTGCAGGGCAGGCCGGGCGTCCCGGCAGTCCGGGGGGAGGAAGTGGGTGCTCGGAGGGCCTTCCAGCCTTCTGCCTCAAGCCCCCTCCCCACCAGTCCAGGCCTCTGACTGGCCGCGATGGGAAGCGGCCACTTGGGACAGCTTTCTGCAGGCCCGACGGAGCCTTTTTCGTGGAGACGTGGCTGCGTCAGCCTGGCCGTTTGGGGGCCTCGGAGCCGCCCACCCCCCCGCAGCTCTGCTGCCTTCAGAGATTTTCCGCATGGTCTCTGCAGAAGGAGGGGCGAGCACCTTTCTGTGCACCAAATTCATAATCCTTTCTTATTACCCTGCATAAAGTCAGATTCTGCTCATTATTCATACCTTCGATGTCTGAGTGGCTGGGTGTTTTGATGTGAAGACGGAGCCCCCGAGCGGCAGGCCTGGCCAGAGGCAGGAGGTCGGGTGCGGAGGGTCGGAAGGCCTGGCCGTTCCTCGCAGCACACTCCCCTCCTGCCCCCTTTCGCCTGAGCCCAGCTCTGCACGTGTGGGGCTGAGCCCGTTGTGATTCTTCCTCCTCTCTCAAGGGGACGCGGCGGCCCGCAGCTCAGTGACGCCAAAACGGCTGGCCAGATGGGGCACCCCGGTTCCGCACCAGCCTGGCGGCACGAAAGCAAGCAATGCGAGTAGCTGGAGAGGTGGCACCTCAGTGGGGGGGTCGCAGCGCCCCGATACACGCTGGCCGCACAAGGGCGACTGGGTCTTCCGGCGGCGCTGGCTGAGCGGTGCCGAATCCGCGGGGCCCCTCGGCCTCTCTGGAAACGCGGCTGGCCTGCTGGGTGAGGTCCTCCGGAGCTTTTCGGGGGAGCGGGCCAGGCGCCGTGTCCCGGCCAGCAAAGGCTGGCGCTCACCCTGCGCAAGGGGAGGAGACGCCTGGCCCGGTCTCCGCCGGAGTCAGTTTTGCACACCTTAGTATTGCTCATTTTTTTTTAAATCTCTGGAGTGCATCTTAGCTGTCTTCATAATTCATTTGGTTTCTGCTAGTTATGGAGAAGGGCAAGCTGCAAGGCAGGGCATTGCCCCCCCCAGTCCCCCCCCCCAGCAAGCTGCCAGTCCTGGGCCTTCTGGGCCACGGCCACACGCCGGCACGGCAGAACTCGCTTGTTAAAGCCAGAGGGGAGGCGGGACTCGGGAAGCCCCGTGGCCCCGCTGGGGCCTTTTCTGGGTGCCGAATGCGGGAGAGGCTGTTTCAAGGGAGCCCAGCCACAGGCAGGTTCCCCCGGGTGGGCGGGTGAGGGGCCCCGCAGGGCAGCGTCCCCAGAGAGGCGGCCTGGCCCCGAGGGGCAGCTGCTCCCCGGCCGGGGGGCCCGCAAGCACCGCCACGGCCAGCGGGGGGCCCGGGGGTAGTGCGAGGGTCTGTCCTCACGGAGGGCCTTCTGCCCCCGGAGGCGGGAGACTGGGCCAGGGGCTCGCTCCTTCGGCTTCGGCGGAACAGGCTCTCGCGGAGCGCGCCTGCCTGCACCCGGGCAGCTCGGCCCCTCTGCTGCCACACCGAGCGAGTGGCCCCACGCGCCCTGAGCAGCCCGTCGCGGCGAGTCCTGGAAACGCGCTTCCTGCGCAGGTGCGGAACCATCACAGTAACTAATAAAGCGATGTGGAAGACGGCTCGCCTGTCTCCGAGGAAAGGAAGTGCCGTCGCCGTTCTCGGCTGGGCGGGCGTGTGGGGCCTCCCAGCTGCCTCTTGGAGCCGCCTGCCTTCTCCGGGCCGGGGCTCCTCGCCCACCTCCCCGCCCCAGCTAGCCCACACGGGTCCTCGCTGCAGGCGGCTGCCGCCACGGTCCCATGCGTGGCGAGCAGGGCCACTGGGAGGGGAGGCACGGCCTGCCCCCCAGGCCGCTTCCCGGCAGCCGCCCCGCAAATGCGCCAAGGAGGGGGAACCCGCTCGTGCTTGGAGAAGCTTTAATGCGGCCGGGTGGCGCTGAGCAAGCCCTGTGCGTTGCAGGAAGCTCCCGCCCCCTGCGCTCTCGGGAGCAAGTCCACAGCATGCAACGGTGAATCTGGGTGCTTTCGTCCTTGGAGGGCTGGGAGGAGGTGGCTGCTTTCCATATGGAGGTCTCGGGCACCAGCGTCTGGGCCTCCCCACACCTGCCCTCCTGCCCCTCTTGCGCTACCAGCTGCTGAAAAGCGGCCGCTGAGGGGGTGGCCAGAAGGCAGCCCTCCCAGTGGGGAGCCAGGAAGGGGCTCAGCCCGGCTTGGGCCCCCCTCCGGCCCGGCTCTGTTTTATCCTGAGGTTTCCGGGCCGGAGCACAGCCAGGAGCCCTCGCTCGGCTTCGCGCCGCAGTGGCGTCCTCCGCTCCAAAAGGCAGTGGTGGTGCTCTCAGCCCGGCAGCGCAGCAGGGCCAGGTGTGGGTGTGCGTGGCTGGCTGCTGTCGGAGCAGCATGAAGCTTTGCTCTGAGAGCCACTCCCTGGGCCGGGCCGCTTGCCGTGAGGCACCAGGCGGCTCCTCGGCACGGCTGCCCTGGCCCGCTGGAGACGCTGCTGGGAGCCGGCCTGCGCGAGCCGAGCGGTGAGCGTCGTGCGAAGGCAGGCCGGGCCTCCTCGCCAGCCCTCGGCTCTCCCGATGGGTCTCGGCCCTCGCCGGAGGCGGCGGAGCCCCATGTTGGCAGCTGGCGAGCGCTGGGCCACCGCCGGAGACGCACCTGCGGGCCGAGGCAGCTGGGGCGAGGGAGAGGCCCTCCGGGGTGAGCGGGCTCACAGCATCTGGTTCGTGGCCCAGGAGAGGAGGGGCCGTCGCGGCCTGGGCCGCTCGGCCTGCAGGATCCGGGCCATGCGGGGCGAGCGCCACACTTTGATGGTGCTGTCAGCGCCGGCGGTCAGCAGCAGTTCCTGTTCCACGGGGCTGAAGGCCACCGAGTGGACCACATCGTCGTGCCGCAGCTTGGCCACGCAGATGTCGTAGTGCCGGTCCCAGATGTAGCTGTGGTGATCCTCGGCCCCGCTGCGCAGGAGGCGAGAGACAGGCACGGTCAAAAGGCGGCCGCACGGGGGCCTTTTCACGGAGGAGCAGTGCTGCATTCAGCCCAGCCCGGCAGTTACAAACTCATCAGCCTGCTAGTCCTCAGCGCAGAAGTGACCGGCAGCGATAGCCAAAACGATGTTGAATTACGGGGCAAGAAAATTTGGCAACTCAGAATTAATCCTACAGGTCTCTGTTTACTGCTCACATACACATGCCTAGTTCCCCCATTCGCTTGGAGAGCTGCATTTCTGGGCTGAGAGGGCAGCGCTGTGGGTTTCTGAAAAAGGGGGCCATGCCCCCGCTGTGCGTGTTTGGGGAACGCCGTTTGAGGGAGCTCCTCCCTTCCCGCCAGGCGTGCATGCCCCCTTCAGCAGCTGGCTAGGCATGCAGGGAGGGGGAAGGCGAACGCCCCCCTCGCCTGGAGGGAAGGGAAGCGCCGTCATCCCAGACCGTGGGGCACCTCTGCCTTCTGCACGCGCCCAGGAGCTCACCTGGCCACGAAATCTTTGCTGACGTCCAGGAATATGAAGCCCTCGTCGGGGGGCGCGTGGGCCCGGTGAGCCCGCAGCACCCGCTTCGCTTCCGTCATGGTCTTCAGGTCCAGCACGTGGAGGTCGACCTCGCGGGCAGCTGGGGGCGGCCGCAAAGGGTCGGAAACGACGCAGCCGGGGGGCCAGGCGCGGCTGTTCACGTACAGGTACCTGGGGAGGGCGGGTAGGTGGCGGCGGTGGGCTTGCCTGGGGAGAGCCAGGCCCGGCACGGGCCTTGCGTTCAGGAGGCCCAGCTCGCCCCCCGTCCCCGCGTGTCCAGCTGCAGAGCCCCCCCCCCCGAGGCCCTGTGCCCAGCAGCCCTTGGAATGGGCCGGGGATTTGCAAGGCTTGGGTCGCCCTCCACATGGGCCTCCTGCCCGGCACAAATTCCTGCCAAATTCTGCTTCTAACGGGCAGTCCCGGTTTATGTGCAGATCGTCGCCAGCCATTTCCGTTCGCTCTGTTTTTCTAGCAAGGGAAAGCCCAGGAAACCTCCGGCGGCAGCTCCGCGGGGGCAGGTGGGCAGAGAGGGAGGGTCCTTGCCAGCGCTACCACCTGGGAACGCTGCAGCGGGTGATGCTGCCAGGCGCCCTGGTCTGTGGGAGAGCCGCTGCTTTGCCACAGAGCATCCCGGGTCAATCCCCGCACCTCTCCGGAAACCCTGGAGAGCTGCCGGTCAGTGTCCAGCAGCTCTGGTGAGGCGGCAGGCAGGCAGGCAAGGCCAGGGCTGTTCCTGACATCGCTGGCGTTCTGCCCCGGGGTCTCAGCAGAGCCTCACAATGGCCCCACTCCGAGTTAGGCTGCCGGTCTAACTTTCCCAGGTGCTTCCTACACAAGAGGCGGTGCCGGGGGATCGCTGGGCCGCTGCGGAGTGCCCACCTGTGGTCGGGGGAGAGGCCCATGCCAATGATGCACCCATGGAAGTCAATGACGTGGTCCAGGGAATCGAAGAACCTATCCGAATTCCTCTCCTCCTCAAGGACGGGGCCAGTGGTGGTCATCTGGTGAGGCAGGATCTGCTTAATCCCTGCAGGAGGATGTGGGGGGGGGGGGGAGAAGGCGGAGCTGAGCAGAGGAGCCTCCGGCCGTCTTGGGACCCCCGGGGATTGGCCCACGCGGCCCTCCAGCACCGCATCCTGCTCCCGGGAGCCCCCGAGGCAAGGCCTCCTTCCCAGAGTCCGGCTGCCCCGGGCCTCATGGGTTCTGCCCCGCTCCGCCGCACTGCCCCTTGAGAGCCGCCTCTGCCCCCATCCCAGGGGCGGGCCCCAAGGCCGCTCACCGATCTGGTGGGGCAGGTAGGTGAGGCAGCCGGTGGTGAAGATCAAGTACTTCTTGTCGCTGCCCGCCCCGGAGAGCAGGTCGGGCTGCGGGGGCCGCGTCCTGGTCTTCGCCAGCAGCCGGGCCACCTTCGTCTCCAGCTCCAGCTCCGTCGCGCCGGGCTGCGCGGGCCCCTCCAGCGTGTCCGTTGGGAGGTGGCCCAGCCCGCCTCCGGCCCCTGCCCACAGGGAGTCCTCGGGGCCCGGCTGCCGGGCCACCCGCTGCGGGCGCCCCTCCTCCTCCTCGTCCTCGCTGTCGCTGCCGAGGTCGACGACCCTGCAGGGGGCGGCCGCCTCGCCCTGCGGGGGCTCCTTGTGCCCGGGCGGGGGGCCAGGGGGGCCGTAGCGGCCGCAATCCACCACCATCGCGGCCCGGATGGTGCTCGCGTTCAGGTTCTGGATCTTGAACAGCCTCTTGACCACGTTCATGTTCTCGGACTCAATCCCCTGCGAGCAGAGAGGCAGGGGGTGAGGAGGCCGAGGCCGGGACACCCCCCGCCACTGCAGCCACCTCCCCCACCCCCGGGCACCTGGAAGGCGTTGCTCAGCCACAGCACGGAGCAGGAGGTGAGGTAGCCGATGCGGTGCAGGTTGCCTGAGATCAGGTGGGTCTCGTTGAGCCAGCAGCCGAACACCTCGGCGGGCTTGTTGTGCACCCGCGAGAGGAGCTGGAAGTCCTCTGGAAGGAGGAGGGGAGAGGCTGCAGGCTGCCCACCCACCCACCGGGGGCCCCCCACACACCTGGCCGCCGGCCTGAGCCGCAGGGCCGCAGCAGCGCGCGAGGAGGCTGGTCCCCGCGTGCCGGAAGAGCCCCGAGTCCGCCCACGCTTGCGCGGAAGCAGCGCCCGCTGGGTCAGGCCGAGGGGCCGGCCGGTGTGGGGCCCTCTTCCCGCGGTGCCCGGCCACGGGACGGATTCTGGCCGGGCATCCGGGAGCCCCGAATCGCGAGGCCGTTTTTTACCCAAGCTGATGACTGCGATCTCGCCGGACGAGGAGGAGGAGTGCGGCCCCGCGAAGACCCCCGAGACGAGCAGCAGCGAGTCGTCTGCGTTGAACTCCGAAAATTGCGTGTAGCTCCAGTTGAACTCCTTCAGGCTGGCGCTGTGCAGCAAGGAGGGCTGCAGGTCGTTGCGCCACACCTGGGCGGGAGCAAGGCGGTTTTCAGGCCCTTTAATTCAGACGCCCCCCTGTCTTAGTAGAGGGTCGTGGGGGGGAGATTTCCGCAGCCGCAGATCAAGTGTGGCGGGGTGGAAAGTCTGCACTGTGCAGGACTGGCTGCAATATTTCATCTCGTGCTCTTTCTGCTTTAGGACACAAGTTCCTATCCCTCATGGTTGTGGAGGCAGGTTTGAAACGGGGGGGCAGTGCCTGCTGAAATGCTGAAAGCCCACAGAGGATTCTGGGTTGCTGTATCCGCCGCGCCAGTCCTTGCGCTGTTCTTTCCCTTCCCGTCCTAGCCCACCCGGACCGCTCTTGGGGCCCCAAGACCACAAACTCCCCCCAGGCAACGGGGCCCGTGGTCCAGGCCGCCTGCACCAGCCACCTGCCCCGTGGGGCCGCCCCCCTCACCTTGATGGTGCAGTCCTTGGAGCAGGAGGCGAACAGGCAGCCGTCGTGGGAGAAGCTCAGGTGCACGACCTGGTCGCTGTGCTCCGTCAGAGTCTCCGCCTCGACGCAGGGGATGGTGTCGAACAGCCGCTGGAACTCCCCGTACCAGGAGGAGGCAGCTGGGGCGGGAGAGGGGGCCGCTCACGCAAGCGCCGGCTGCCCACTGGGAGGCTGCCCTCCTGGCACGGACACCCCCCTGCCCCCCCCCGGGGCTCATTTCGCCCCGGAAGAGCTTCGCAGAGAACCAAAAGAAGCAAGAGCGGACTGACGCGGCTTCTGAGGGAAACAAGGAGACATCAAGGGGATGCTCCAGCCATGGGGGAAAATGCACCGGAGCCGCCGGAAGGGCCTGGAATGTTGTCAGAAGCCACACAAACGTAATAATGGTGAAGACGACAATCAGGAGGGGAGATGAAGGGAAACAGCAGGGCAGACCCTGGTCCCAGGCCTGAGCCGTTGCGGAGGGCCTGGCGCGCTTCTCTGAGGGCCCCTGCCGCCGCTCGAGGACTGCCCCGGAAAAGGACCCTCTCCAGCAACGACCTGCCAACTCCAGAGGGGTGTGTGGGGGAACCTGGGGGCTTCCAGAGCAGGTCTTGACAGATGGGGCACGCCATGTGGGATTTCCTGGCTCCTCCTCAAGAGCAAACCAACCGCCCGCACCCTGCCGAGCCCAGCCGTCCGGCCCCGAAGAAGCCCCACCGAGGAGACGGAGGGCCCCGCTTGGGAGACGGAGGAGGCGCCGCACCACCTCTTCTCCGGGCACCGTCACCCCCAGAACCCGGCTCCCAGCAGAAGTGCCTGCCCTTCCTGGTGAGCGAGCAAGGCTGCCGCGGGCGTCCCCCTGCAGCCGGAGCCCGGCGGGGCCCAGAGCCCCCCGCCCCTGGAGAGAGGAGAGGCAGGCCCACCTGGGTGCCGCGGGACGTCCCGAGCGACCCGGTAGTACTTGTAGAAGAGCTCTCTCCAGAGGACCTCGTCTTGGGCCACTGCGTGCCACTGCCGGCAGGCCAGCCCCGCAGAGAGGACGTCCGCGTAGTCCAAGTGCAGGAAGATCTCGATGAGGACGCTGTCGGGGAGCCGAGGCGGGGGGCGCCGTCCAGGTCTCATCATCCTGCAGTTGCCCGGGTCCCTGGAAGGCCAGAGGGGGAGACAGGTGAGGCTCTAGCCTGCCCTTCCCCTGGGCCTCGGGTGGCACAGCATTCCTGCGAGGTGAGCCACTTTCGTTATCTATTTTATTTTATTTTACTTTATCGACGTGTGTATAGGCCGCCTACGCTTGCTGAGGCCCCTAGGCAGCCTGGAACGGCATAAAAGCACATTCGGCCAGCCACGGACGGGCGGCTGTGGGGGCACCGAGCCCAAGCCAAGTGCCCTGACCATTGCACCTGCTGGCCCTTGCCTCCCCCCGCAGGGGATGCGCTCCCCTGTCCCTCCCTCCACCTCTTCCCCCATAGAGCCTCCCCGGCCCCCTCCTGTGCCTCTGGCTCCTGCAGAGCCCTCTCCTTCCCCCGCAAGGCCCCCCACCCCCGTGCCCCCCTCTCCCCTGCTGCGGGCCCTGCCCTCTCCCGTGCCGCCCTGGCCTGCCCCGCTGTTCACCCGGACGTGTGTCCCCCAAGCCCCCACCGCTGGCCCTCCCCATCCAAGCACCGCTGTCCCCCGTCACCCCCTTCCCTTCCCTTCCTTCCCCACCGGCTGCCCGCCCGCCCGGCCGCCGCGCCTCCGTCACTTCCCCTCGCTCGCCTCGCTTCCGCCGTCCCGCCTGCGCTGCCTCGCGCAGATCAGCTGCTCCCAGCCCCCGGGGGGGGGGGGGCGGCCCGGCCCGGCCCCTCGCCGCCAGCTCCGGCCGAGGGAGCCTGAGCTCGAGTGTTGGTGCAGCGTTCCACCCGCAAGGAGCCGACGCGCTCTTTTGCTCGCAACGGTTTGCAACAAGACTAAAACCCCCAGTGCAAGCAGACAATGTACCCGGCTGGACACACACCCCAAGTCCTTCCAAGCCATCGCAGTGAAGTACATGGACAAATATAAACAAGCAGCAGCCAGCAACAGTATAAAATGCAGGATACAGTGACACAACACTGTTGCCCTGTTTGACAATTACAATGCAGGGAAAACAAGGTTTTAGCCTGGCACTGAGAAGCAGTGTTTTAGCCGGCCCCGGGCACACCCCTCTGGGGAGCCGATCCCGCTGCTGGGGGCCACGGTGGCTCCTGGAGAGGGGCCTCCGTGGAAGATGCTCAGGTCTGGGTGGGCACGCACAGGGGGAAACGTTCCTCCAGGCATTCAGGCCTTAACCCATTTTGGGCTTCATATGTCAAAGGGAGCGCTTTAAACTTCCATCGGTAACGAGTGCAGATGATAAAGGGCTGGCATTTTAGGGCGAGCAGTCCTGCCCTGAACCAGCTGAAGTATCTGGACCATATCAAGGCCAGCCCCAGCAGGCACATGCTGCAGTTGTCCAGATGTGGGGTTGCCAGGGCACGGGCGCGGGCTGCTCGGTTCTGCCTGCCCAGGTGCTCCTGGCCACGGATCCCACTGGCACTCCAGACGGCTCTGGGTCCAGCAGCACACCCAAACCCCCTCCAGGACAGGACGGGTCTGACCCACCTGGGCAGAGGACTCGCCTGTCGACCACACCTCTGTCTTACCTGGGTCACGCTTCCACCTGCTGCCCTCATCCTTTCCATCGCCCGCTGCGTGGATCGCTGCATGGAGCCCGCAGAGGTCGGAAGGCGCCTGCCGGGGCCTCGCAGCCCCGATCCGGGGGGGCCACCGGCGTGCACAGGGCTGGCTCATCCCCCTCGCGGCCGCATTGCAAGGACAGAAGGCAGAAGCAAAGCTCGGCCCAAACAGCGCATCCAAGGGCACAGCGGCTGGGAAAGGGCAGCCGGAGTTTTGTGTGTGCTTTGGGCCTGGGTCCCTCCTGGGATTGTGTGCCGGTCACAACTTCTGAAGTGACCTGGGACCTGCTTCTGTGACGCTGACCTTCAGCCCGGTCCAAAGGTTCGCTGGGCTGATTCATCGCTGGCCCTGGGTCTGCCAGCCACTGCCCTTCAGCCATGGCGCCCAGCGCATTCCTCCTGCCGCTGCTGCTGCTGCTGCTGGCTTCTCCTGCCGGCACCCGGCGCCCCAGGAAGCGGCCGCCTCCGGAGAACCCCATCGACAAGATCAGGGCCCAGGAGAACTTCGACGCTGCCCAGGTGAGGCACCCGGGGGCAGCCGGAGGGGCGCGTGTCCCAGTGCGCAGGGAAAGCGAGATCGCTGGTCTCGACGCCCCAGGAGGGCTGGATGTGGGGGGGGGGGGGGGGCGCTGAGGCATGTAAAGGCACACAAGGAGGGCCAGTGGCTTGTGTGGAATGGCCATTCCCGGTGCCTGTGGGCCTGTTCGGAGTTGCGTGTTGGGGTAGCTGTTTTTAAGTGGTGTTTACGTTGCCGTATTTTGGGGAATTTCCCTGGCGTTTTACTGCATCCTTTTATGGACTGCAAACGCTTGGGCTTTGGGATGATCTAAAAATGGAATGAACGGACATGTGGAAGGGCTGGATCTGGAATCAGCGGACGCCCCGGCCCTTGTCCCACTGTCCCCACGCTGGCTTTGCCGGTCACCCCAGCGCCTTGCCATCTGGCGGGAGAGTGTGGCCACCGGCTTGCCTCAGGTGTTCGAAGAATGGCACCTGGAGGACTTGGGAAGGGTGTCCCTTCCTCCCCTCAACAGCTGCTCGAGCGCCTTCCGAGCCGGGACCCTCCTCTGTGGGCCGCCTTGGGATTCCGCAGGCCGCCTTCCTGGTTGCTCTTGGGACTGGCTGGGCTTGCGAAGCGACAGCCTCTCTTCCCCGCCAGTTTGCAGGCAAATGGTTCCTGGTCAGCGTGGCTGCCCGGTGCGCCCACCTGAGCGAGAACAGCGACAACCTCGAAGCCACAAACATCGTGGTCTCCGTGCCCAGCACCCGGGCCCTTCCCGCGGGCTTGCTGGTGGACACCTTCCGCCCACTGTGAGTATGGCCGAGGCGGGTGCTGCTCAGCCCTGGTCTTGTGCGTGGGGGGGGGGAGCACCCCGGTGGCTCTCGGAGCTCAATAAAGCTTGATCAAAGCTGTAACGGATTAACAAGACAAACAAGGAAACAAAAAATCTCCCCCCCCCCCCGCTGTTTGGGTCTATCCCCTTGGACTTTGTCTGTGTCAACACTAGCTGCATTTTTAAGGATCTTTTTTCTATTTTGAGTTCCTACAATATAAAGCCACCTGTCCGATTGATAGATCGGATACCTGTAAATGGTAGCAGCTAGACGGGCACTTCAACAGCAGCAGAGTGGATGCCCTCGGATGTGTCGGCCCGCAGTTGCTGGCGCCCCGCTGGTGGGCTGGTGGAGGCTGCTCTTGGCAGTGCCCTCTGCAGGGTGGCCCCGGCCGGCCCCCCCGTCTTCAGCGCTGCGCCTCTTTCTCCGCCTCCGCAGGGACGGCCACTGCTGGAACATCAAGCAAATGTACTTCCCCACCAAGACTCCGGGCCGGTTCCAGCTGAAAGGTACCCCCTGGGACATGGGGGGGGGGCTCTTCCGAAAGGGGGGGCACCCTCAGCTGCCCTCTTGCAGGGCCCCTGTTGGAGGCTATGCCAGATCCGGGGGCAATGCTGAGCTTTCCTGCAGGCGTATTATTTGCTGGTCCATCGCTCTGTAATCCATGCAGCAACAGCAGAAAGCAGACCGGTGTTGCCGTCCCTGCATGGAGGGGCCCGGGTTGCCCTGGGCTGGGCCAGGGCACCTCTTGAGCTGTGTGGGGAGGTTGGCTGGCCTCGGGCTGGTGGGCCTGCCAGGGCTTCCTCTCCTGCAGCCCTGAGATCCGCCTTCCGGTGCACGTTGTGAAGGACATTTCAGAACAAAAGGAGATTTGCTAGGAACGTCCCATCCTCCTGCCCACGGGGTCTGTTCCTGGCCACCCACAGTTTCCTGCATTTGAGCACCATCATTTAGGGAGGGTGGGGTAAATTGGTGGGTGCCTTGGCCGCGGTGCCGGGGCAGGGGGGGCACAGCTCCTCTGGGCCAACAGCGGGCTCCCCCGGTCCCTGTGCTTCCCCGGCAGGCCGCAGGAAGCTGGTCGACGTGGTGGTGCAGACGGACTACAGCAGCTATGCCATCCTGTACTACCAGAAGGACCGCAAGATCTCGGCAAAGCTTTATGGTGGGAACGCTTGATGCACGGGGCCCAGGGCCGAGCGATGCGGCTGCAGGGCTGCCTGTGAGCCAGGCGTGGCTGGAGGAGGGCGGGGGGTGCCTTCTGTCCTGGCCAGAAAGGCGGTGGCGGCAGCCTCTGGGCAAACGCGGCTCTGCCGGGTGGTTATTTCTGATCACACCCCAGCCAAGGGCAGAGCGGTCTCTGCCCTCCAAGGAGCTGCCGAGGGTGGAGGTTTTGGAAAGCGGGCCAGCAGCGAGGGCAGTGCCTCTCCGTGTCGTCTCTGGCAGGGCGAGCCGTCCGGGTCAGCGACGCTGTCATGGCCACCTTCGAGCAGCGCGTGGCCGCCGTGGGCATGAATGAGGACTCGATCTTCTACTTCCCCGTCTACGGTGAGCTGTGGATGCCGCCGGTGCCTGCAAGGCACGTGGGGCACACGCACGCCTTGCCGGAGCCCCCGCTTGGCGTGCCAAGGCGCCCGACTCAGCCCCCGCGCCTCCAGGTCCAAGGATCGGGGAAGGAGCCAGAGTCTCTCAGGTGGCTCAGGCGGGAACTGAGCGGCCCCCTGGCAGCACGAGGGAGACCCTTTCCTGATTCACCCTGTTTTGCTCCCACCCTGCAGGCTTCTGTGACTCGGCCGACCAGTTCCACTTGCTGGATGGTGAGTTCATGCCTGTGCATCGCTCTTCCAGCTCCACTGGCCGCGGAAACAGGGCTATGTGCGCAGTTTGCTCTTTTGGGCAAATTGAGTGGCTGTTTTGCAGCGGTGCAAACGGGCTCTCCGTGGCTCAGGAGAGTCCACAGCCAGACAGTCCTGGCCCTCCAGGTTGCAGCTTGTTTTCCTTTTGGCGGAGGCTGGCACGACGGAGCAGTCTTTCGAAAGCACGCACAATTGAACTGCTCGCCCTTATGATGGTGGGAGTAGGTCTGAAGGCACGCAGAGTCCTAGGGAGCGCTGAGGGCGCTGCTCTCTCCTCTTTGCTCGCTGCTCATGAACATGATTAGGAAAAGCAGGCGGGAAGCCTCACCGAAAGCAGCTGCTGAAAGGCCGCCACGGGCTGCAGAGCCGGCCTGGCGGGGAGACAGGCCGTGCGGCTCCCCAACCTCCCTTTCCTCTGTGCAGACACCAAGTATACCGGGAGGATGTGAAGAGGCCCGTGCGGGATGGCGCACCCTCTGCCCCGTCTGGCCCTTCCTCACGCGGACACCCAAGACCTGCCGGCCTCACCAATAAAGTGGATTCAAGAAGTGTTCAAATGCTTGAGAGAGAGAGAGAGAAAAGTTGGTGTGGGTTGCCGTGCCGCACAAGATGGTTGGTTTCCATCTTACGTACCAGCGGCCTTCTGCCTGTGATGCGTCAGGTTGATGGGAGTTGTAGTCCGACACAGTGGTAGAGCACTAGTCTGGAGGAGGATGGTGTGGCCACCCTGGACCGGAACAGAACCTGGGACGGCTTGCAAAGCTTAGGGGGCCAGCAAAAGCTGCCCTCGGCTCAGCAGGCCCCATCTGGCAGGGCTTCTCAAGGCCCAGGAAGGGGCAGGTGACGCTTTGGGGGGGCCTGGTGGGAAGAGAGGATCTGAGCCGCACTGCCAAGCGCGAGTTAGCTTTGCGGGGGGCAGATGCATCCGGGGGGGCCCGTGTTTGGACTTGCACTGGCCTGGCCACTTTGCAAGACGCACAATCAGATTCTAGCTGGCGGCCAAAATCGTGCTTTGCAGCCAAAATGCAATGAACCCCCGAGGCGGAGGGCACCCCACTCAGCGGTCCTGAAACGGAGGCTCCAGACGGGGTAGGGAGATGCAGAACGGACTTCCCACCTGCTCTGCCTTTCCGATCGCACTCGGCTTCCTTTCCGCAGTCCACCATTCCCCAACCTGGTGCCCTCTGCACCTCCCCTCGCTCGCTCCCAGGCACTGGGGTTCTCAGGAAGGCCTCCTCTCCACAGGGCTTTGGAAATGGGAGAGGGAAGAAAGGAATGCGCCCCTCCCCGCCCGCACAGCTTTCACCCGCTGCAGGGAAGTCAGGTGCTCCCGCCGCCCCTTGCTTCGGGGCTGGAATGTTCCGGAGCACCGGGGCTTGTGCTGAGCTGGCAGCTTTGTGGGTCTGTGCTGAGCCTCCCCTGCAGAGTGTGCGTGTTAGCAAAGCCTCATTTATTTGCTCATCCCCGCTCGGTCTGTTTGCACATGTTTGTTTACCCCACGGAACCGCGGGCCTTGCACTGTCGGGGGCTTTGCGCCGAGCCTCAGCGTGTCCAACAGGGAAGCCCCTAACCGGGAAAGAATCACCAGTCTCTTCCAATCATAGCAGCTTCCAGAGATGCATCTTTTGAAGCTGCACCTGTTGAACTGTGCATCTGTCGGGGAATTTTTCCTCACTACCACCTCTTAGTAGGCTGAGAGGCAGCCATTCTCGGCCGCTGGGGGGTGCTTGGAAGCTGTAGGGTTGCTTTCCTGTCTAACTATGCACCGGGCCGTTTCCTGGCGGGCTGGGCATGCGTGCAGATCAGGATGCGCAGGGAGGCGCACCTTTCGGGCGGGGGCAAACTCGGGCATTTGCATGGGCTGATGTTATCCTTTCTGCGGAGAGAAAGGCAGCGAGGAACTCTGCTCCAAGGAAGCCCCCAGTGCGAAAGGGGCTGGAAGACAAGCTCTCCTCCTGCCAGAAGACGAGAGCCCTGAAGGGCATGGAGGTGCTCGGTGGGGATAAAACTGGATCGACCTGAACTCTGGGCTGACAGCAATGGAATGGGATTCGATTAGGACGCGTGCCAAGCCCCCACGGAGGGAAGGCAACTCCAAAGCGGCGCTGCAAGATGGGGCACGTGTGCCGGTTGGATGAGATCGGGGATTCTTTCCCACAATTCCAAAGGGCCATAAAAGCCCACTGGTTCTTCAAAGCCAAGCTGTAAAGTGCCAACCCCTGAAGGCAGAAAGGGTTGGGTTGGCCCTCGCTGTTAACCCCCAAAGCTGTTTGTCACCAGCTGCCAGTTACGGCTTCTTGCAAAGAAAGATGTGGAGCATTTGCAAGTAGAAGTTCCCAGACATCACTTCTGGGGAAGGGTGAAGCTGCGCCTGTTGAGCTTCTGCCTGTCACATTGTACTGGACAAGGACTCTCTGCTATTGTGCAAAGTGTTTCTGGGACAGCCTGGGCACCGCAGGCTCCAATGCACGGCGGAAGACCTGCTCACGGGGCTGCCAGCGTGGCTCTCCTGGAAGGGTCGGCCCAGGCCACCGTGGCCAGCGCCTGCCCTTCCCAGTTTAACGCCACTGCACCATTCCAGGCCCAGTCCGAAGGGGCCAGACACTCCATTAAGGCCCCTCCGACATGCTTTGCCCAGAGAGGCAGGCAGGCCCCCCAAGGCTGGCTGGCTGCGCCGTCTCCCGGTGCTGGCGAAGAGGGGCAGGGCCCTCGCAGGGCTGCTTGTGGGCCACGGAGCCCCGATGGGGCTGAGCTGGCAGCGCCGGTCCTTCGCTCGGGCTCCTACCGAGCCCCCTTGTGCCCGATGCTCCCCCTCTGCGCGAGGCCATGGTGGGGACGCGGTGCGAGCCTCCGAGCGGCTCCTCCTCCGGCAGAACCCCTTTCTCGGCTGCTCACAGATCAGCCTGTGGGGGGGCCAGCGCGGGTCTTGGCACAGGGCAGGCGGTTTGGAAGAGGCAGCCCCCTGCACGCTGCCACCGCTGGCTCACCGCCCTGTCCCCCCGGGCCGCGGCTGGAATGCCATGTTCGCGGGGGCTGGAACGTTCCAGTGCTCCAGGCCACGGCGGAGCGGTCATCTGACGGGGGGAGGCATCCCCGCTGCCCTGGCCCCGCTGCACGCACTGCCTGTCTTGCGTAATCGGCCTCGGCGGGGGGGAGAGGGCTGAGCAGTGCTCCCCCCGTGGGGATAAATAGCTGCCCGGCCGGGTCCCAGCCCCACACGCGCCCCGTTCCAGGCAGGTCGCGCACAGGGCCGCCCGCAGCCGAGCCGAGCCGCGCCGCGTCCGACATGAAGGGGCTCCTCTGCATCTTCCTGGCTCTGGCCCTCGGCGGCCTGGTCCGGCCCCAGTCGGACTTCCAGCTGGAACAGGTAACCGGGCGGGCGTCCCTCCCGCGGCCCTGCGTCCCGGCGTCCCGGCGTCGCTGCTCGCCGGCGGCGTCGTGGCGGAAAGTGCAGCCCCGCGGAGCCCAGAGCAGGCGCGCCCCCGCCGCGTTTCCGCACGCCCCGTGCGCCGTTTCCTCCGCCGGGCCTTTTGCGCGAGCGGCTCCGCTCGCCACCCGCCTGCCCTCGAGGGGGCTGCGGAGGGAGGGGAGGTGGGGGAGACCCCCCTGGCGGCGGCCGCAGGACCTTGGGGTGCTCCGGGGCCATTTTCCAGCCGCCTTCCCAAGCCGAGGAAGCTCCCAATCGCACGCGAAGGCGTCCACCTGGCGAGCGGGGAGGGGAGGGGAGCCGCTGGGAGCAGCAGGCACGCACCGCCGGCACGGAGACCCCCCCCCCGCCCCCTGTTTCGGGCAGGCTCTGCTGTGGTTTCCCTGGCGGGGTGCCCAGCTCTGCCTAAATCCCTCCAGCGAGGGAGACCCCCCCACCTGCCGCCAGGAAGCCTCACCTGCAGCACAAGCCACCCTCGCCCTGCCCTTGGAGCCACAGGGTCCCCCCCCGTGCCCCCCCCCCCCAGCCAGGCCGCTGCAGCCCCGTCTTGTTCACGCAGTTCTCAGGGGGATGGTACAGCATCGGCTTGGCCTCGGATGCTCCCTGGTTCCAGGAGAAGAAGGCCGTGATGAAGATGAGCACCGTGGTGGTGGCCCCCACCGGAGACGGGAATCTGGAGGTCACCTACACCTACCCCAGGTAGGGCGACCAGACCAATGGGCCTCTGGCTCCCAACCCCACCTGGCTTCCCACAGCCAGCTTGCCTGAGGCCGGCCCGCCCCGGTGTGGGGCAGAGCGGCCCCCTGGCGCATCCCTGGCTCAGCCCTCTGTGTCCGGCAGGCAGGACCAGTGCGAGACCCGGAAGAGCTCTTTCCTCCGGACGGAGCAGCCCGGCCTCTTCAGCTACACCAGCCCACGTGAGCGAGCGCCGCCAGCCACACTGGGCCGGCTGGGGGCACGGCGGGCCTTGTGGCCGGGCCGGGAGCCGCGGGCTCAGCAGGCAGGCGTGCCGCTTGCCCTATCCCCCCCCCCCGCCCTCCCTCACCCTGCCCCACGGAGCACAGCGCCAGCCAGTTGTCGGAGCCGGCGATGCTGGGCCGAGGCAGCTGGCTGAGCTTCGTCGTCCCGGGCAGGGCCCTCGGTGAGGCACGAGGTTGGGAGCTCGGCCCCCGCCAGCCCTGCTGACCGGCCGCCCGCCTCTTTCGCCCCCCCCCCCCCCCCCGACCCTGCGCTGTTCGCATCCACGGCACCGTGGAGACGGCACTGGCTGGGCTTCGGGGGCCGTGGGTGCTCGTCCCCGCTTGGCACGGCGCTCCCTGGGCCCCCTTGGCCCAGCCGTGGGGGTGCTGTGGGGCCGGCGAGCGTCACACCCGCTCCCATTCCAGGATCAGGAAGCGTCCACACCGTGCAGGTGCTGGACATCAACCGCCATGAGTACGCACTGCTGCTGGCCAAGACCGCCAAGGGCGCAGGGACTTCCACCATGGTGACTCTGTACGGTACGCGTGCCCCCTGCCGCCCCCTTTCTCCCCAGCGGCCCCGCCCTGCCCAGCCACGGCTGTGCCCCACATGTGTGTGGAGGGGGCAAGGGACCTCACTAGGCTGTGGCCTGGCAGAAATGCCCTGCACGGCTTCTGCCAGAGGCCAGGGCAAAGGGGGTGGTGCTGCCGTGTGCTCTTCCGCTGCACCTGTGCAGTGGCCGCCTGCTCGGCCCGCAGAGCTCCCGCAGTCCTGCCGAAATGGCTCGGGCATCTCGCTGCCTGGGGAAATGTGTGAACGGGAAGCAGGGGGTGCCGTGTGGTCTTGCCGGTGGGGGCACACCGTCCTGCTGGGCCCAGTGGCTTGGGCGTACTGGGCCCCCGCCCTCCCGGCTTGCCCACTGGGGCCTCCTTCAATGGCCGCCTCGTCCGGCTGCAGGGAGGAGCCGGCAGCTGAGGCCTGAGCTGCAGGAGAAGTTCCGGCAGGCAGCCTTGGCGGAGGGTCTCGCCCCGGAGGACGTCCTGATCCTGCCCCAGACAGGTATGAGCCGGGGTGGAGCTCTTGGGGGGCGGGGGGGGCAAGGCGAGGTGGGTGGGTGGCAGTGTGGCCCCCAAGGGGAACGGTGCTCCTTCTGGCACGGGCCCCAGGCCGATGCCCCTCTGGCCCGTGATTGCTGCGCGCCCCTTTGGGCCTCGTGCCCGGGAGGGGGCACTTTTGCCGAGCAGCCTCAGCCGGGCTCTCCTGGCAGAGCTCTCGGGGAGCTCGTCCCACAGCTGGGATCCCGGGGGCCGGGTCCCCCTAGCGCCCCCCCCCCAGGTGCCCCAGCGCCTCTCCTGACCCTCGCCTGTGTCTTCTCTCCGGGCAGATCAGTGCATGCCAGAGTCGGTGTAGGTGAGTCAGCTGGCAGGGCGGCGGTCCAGCCCCTTCGGACTCCTGTGCGTAGTGGGCAGAGGGTCCCACAGCCACTGACGGCCAGGAGTGCGCACTGCCGGTCCCATCATCCCCAGGGAATGCAGCACATCTGGGAGGGACCAGGGTGGGCCGGTGCCCCCGCTGCCCCTTTCGAAGCCCCTCAAGCCAAGGGCCCCGCGGTGGCCGTGGGCTCCGTGCTCCCTGTGGGCTCCGCGGAGCAGGCAGCTGCCTTGCAGGGCCCCCGGCTGGGGGGGGGGGCAGGGGGCCGCTTGGGAAGGGCTCGGCTGCGTCGGGGGCGGCTGTGGGGAACACATCTGCGCAGGGCCCTTTACCGGCGCTCCCGCCTCCCCCTCCCTGGCTCTCCTTTCCGAGGTCCCGCGCCGCAGCCCGGGTCGCATCTCGAGATGGAAGAAGGACGCTCGGCACCTTGGTCTGCCACCCTGAATTTCCCCGCAGTCGCAGTAGCGAGCCCTCCCGAGAAGCCTTGTGCGTCTTCCTCTCCCAATAGTGTGGCAAGGCCTCCCCTGAGTTAAAATAAAATTGTAAGCCGGAGAAGGGGTGCCGCCGCCTCCGTTCGTGTGCGGGGATGGGCCGGCATGTCTGCTGGGGGACCTCTGCTTGGAGGCGGCCCCTCCTTGCCCGCGTGTGCCTCCCGCCCCGGCATCGCCCCCTTTCCTCCCCTCCTCCTCCAGCTCTCAAGTTTCCCTCCGCAACAACCCCCCTGCGAGGCGGGTTAGGCCGAGCATCTATCTCTGGCCCAGTCGCCCTGCTGGTTCCACGGGCAGGCAGGGGCCAGAACCGGGTCGCCCGAGGCCTGGCCCTGCGCTCATTGCTCCCGCGCCACCCTGGCCCTCTGCGTCGACGACGCGCGGCATCTCTCAGCCCAAGGGCCGGATTCTGCTTCTTGGGGGGGGGGGGCACATTTTCAGTGGAGGGGGCCCTTGGCTCTTTGCAGCAGGCATGGCACCCCAGCCCACTCCGCGCTTCCGTGGCAGCGCTGGGAAGTGATCCACTGTTTGCTTTGTGCTCCTGAGAGAGGGCCTTGTTCGCCCCGCTGGGATTTGGAGAGGGTTAGGAGGGGATTTAGATAACCGCGGATCAGCTTGCCATCCGCCTCCTTCCTGGCTGTGGGGGGGGGGCAGATGTCCCTCCCTGGCATCAGGGAGCACCTCCTGGCACAGGCCCCAGCGATGCCCCCCCCCGACTCATGTACGGCTGCCCCCGAGCCCTCCTTGTGGCCCAGCCCAACCCACCCACGGTCCCACCAGGACTGCCCGCTGCCCCCACCGGGCCCCCACCTCGCCCGCCGGCACAGGCCTCACCCTCCCCTCCCTTGGGGAGCGTGGCTCCCTCTCCGAACAAGCAACATGTGGGGCAGCCCCACCTGCCGTTGGTACGAGCCAGGAAAGGGGACCTTGCCTCCCCCATGTTCCCCCCCCCCCGCCGCTGCCCCTTTGCAAGGCCCAAGGCGGAAGGACTCCCAGGGCCTGTGGGTCGGCTGCTGAGGGAAAGGGGGCAACCCGCTGCCCTCCAGCTGCTTCTGCACTCCAGCTCCCATGGGCCTCGGCCAGTGGGGATGGTGGATTTTAGCCAGCGCCATCTGGCAGGAGGCAGGCTGGCTGCTCCTGCACTGCCAGTCCGGAAGCACCCGAGGCCTTGGGGGCGTTTTGGGCCCTGCAGATCTTGCTCCGCCCCCCCCCCTCGCCTGGCCTGTTTTCTTCCGTGGGTGGGCCAGGGTCTGCTATCCAGGCACAGACCAGCGCTTAGCTTATCGCTGGCTCCGGGATACCTGACACCGCCGGCCCAGATAGCAGGTCGCACCTGTCCAAAAGGTTGCATAAGCCCTGGGCGCCCGCCCACGCCGCGCCCGAGCAGAGCGATATAAGGCCGGTGCCTCCGCAGTCGCAGCACCTTCCTCTGCCCCACTGGTTCTGTCCGGCACGCACGGATCGGGGCCAGCGCGAGAATGAGGGCCGGCCCGCTCAGCCTCCTGGTGCTCCTGCTCTGCCTGTCCTGCGCCCAGGCCGACGTGGCGGTGCAGCCGGGCTTCGATGTGGAGAAGGTACGGCGCGGGGGGCTGTGGGAGAAGCAGGCCCCGCTCTGTGGGAGACGCGTCGTCTCCCTGGCTGGAGAGCTGGGCAAGGGCTCCCCACAGCCTTCCCCCTCTTGGTGCCCTCCTGGGCGTAGGACTGCAACTCCCATCGTCCCCAGGGAATGCTGGGATGATAGCCCAGCACATGGTGGGGGGCACCAGTTGGGGAAGGCTCTGTGGCTGCTGCTGCTACAGCCTCCAGCTGGCTTTCTGGAGGTGTCCGGCTGCCCCCCGGCGGCAGGCTCTACCCGGGTGGCGTGACTGCCCATGGGGCTGGATGGTGCGGCCACATGGTCTTGGGTTCCCCTGCGAGGATTTTCAAAGTCCCCCCCCCCCACCCGAGCCTCCAGAGTTACAGGAGCATGAGAACTCTGTTTATGCGCAAGGAACTTGCCTCGCTCCAAGCAAACGCCGCAGGTCACCTGCTCGCATTTCTCACTTGCATCTAAAAGGCGCCATTCCCTCTGGCCCTGGGTTTCACCCTAGAATGAGTGGGGTGAGCGGGGGGGGGGTGTGTCTCTCTCTGGAGGAGCATGCCCCTTTCCAGCTCCGAAAAAAATCCACTGGGAAGCGAGGAGAAGGAGTCGAAATGAGCGCCAGGGGGGGAAAGAGCGAAAGCTGTGCCTCGAACGGGCACGCCTGCGGACGCTGACGAGGGGCGCCTTCTCGGGGGGCAGCGGGGCCGCCCTGCGCCCTTCGCCCCCTGGAGCCGGACCTCTCTAGTTCTCAGGGACGTGGCACGTCGTGGCGGCCGTGTCCAACTGCTCCACCTTCCAGAGCATGAGGGGGGTCATGAAGACGTCGGTGGCCAAGGTGACAGCCCTGCCCGACGGAGATATGAGCATCCTGACCGGCTTCCCCGTGTGAGTCCCTGCCCCGCCGTGGGGCAGCCCAGCAGAGACGGGTGCTCTCACAATGCGGGGGGAGGACAACTGGCGGGGAGGAAGGCCCCCTTCTGAGACATGCCCCCCTTCCATGCAAGGTCAGGGCCAGGGCACGTGGCGGGACGGGCTGCGTGGTGCGTGGCACCGTTGGGGGGCCACTTGGAGGGGTCCGAGGCAAGCCGGCAGACGCCCATGCAGACTCTGCCCGCGGATTTTAGCCGAAAGCACCGCCGGCCTTTTCAAAAGGCCGGGAAACGAACGGTGGTCCGGTGGATGGGGCAGGGGGCGTGCCAGCACCACAGAAGCTCAGGATGAAACACGGCATGAATATGCTGCCCAGTGGCCCTGGAACAACGGCCCCCGCGGCTCAAGGCCCTTCCTCTGTGGTCCAGAGCTGCTCCCTCCCTCTTCTTCCTCTCCATGATGCCTTTCCCAGGTCTGAGGAATGCCGGACGGTGAAGATGCACTTTAAGAAGACGGAGCAGCCCGGGCATTTCACCAGCGACGGTAAGCATGGAAAGTGCGCACAAAACGCGCGAAAGCGCAACTCGTTGCCCTGGGTGCCTCCGGCAGCGGGGAGCAAGGGCTGAAAAACTCCAAAGGGCAGAGTGTCCTGAAGCATGCACAGAGGGCCTCTTCAAGGCACCACTCACCGCAGCCGGGGGCCCAGCCAGGCGCTCGCTCAGGGGCAGGCCCGCACGGCTCCACGGCCAGAGATGGAGGGCGGGCCGCGGGCCTTGGGGCTGCAGCTCCGGGCCAGACTGATGGGCTTCGCCCGCTTCCCCGCAGAAAAGGGCGCCAGGCAAGACCTGCGGGTGCTGGCCACGGACTACGCCAGCTTCGCCTTCGTCTATGTCTGCAAGGAAGCCGCGGGGGAGCGCAGCCTCACCGTCCAGCTCTACGGTGGGTGCCGAGGAACGGAGGGGGGCCCCGCGGCCTGCCGGCCCTGACCTACAGCCGGCGGAGGAAGCAGGACCTTGGAGAGCTCCCCTGCCGCTCTGGCGCCGGGAGGGGGGCTGGGGTCCAGCGGGGAGCAGACACGGTGGCCTGGGGGCTCGGGCATGTGGCCGGCCCTGGCCCGGTCTGGGGCTGAGCCCCAGTGGCAGGGCTGGCCACCTGGTCCTGCCCCCAGGAAAGTCCTGCACTCTCACGAAAGGCCCGGGCCGGCGGGCCACACCGCAGAGGCGTGACAGGGCCCTTCCTCCCCTTCCGTCGGTACAGCCAGGCACCCCGGCGTGGTCGAAGCGGTCATGGGCGACTTCCGGGAACACTTCCGCAGGGTGGGGCTGACCGATGACCTGATGGCCGTCCTGCCCCGATCCGGTGAGTGCGCGCGCCAGGCTGGCCTCCCTTCCCTTTCCAACTCTCCGGGCCCGGCAGGGGTCGCCACGGGCCCCCCTGCACTGCCCCCCAAACTGTCCCGAGCCAGCGCGAGAGCGTGCCCGGCCCCGCGGGGGCCACCGACGTGACGCTGCCCAAAGGAAGGGCGGCCAGGAGGGGGCGCACTGGGACTGGAGCGCGGGCAGCCGCCCCGGTCTCAGGGGCCCGGCAGGGGCTCCCCCGGCACGGCCGCTTCTCCGCGCTGTGGGCACAGCCGAGGGGGGCAGCGGCTGCAGCTCGAGCGGAGAGGCCAAGGCGAGCCGGGGCCCCCCACCCGTGCCACTGCGCCCCCTTCCCGGGCTCCGTCGCTCACGCCTCTCTCTTGCCTTGCAGACGTCTGCCTCCAGCACCTGAGGTGAGTGGCCAGGAACGGGGCCTGCCCTCCTCGCCACGCGGGGCTGGGCACCGGCCTCCCCCGACGGATCGGGACCGTGCGGGGTCAGAGCGGGCTTGGCCTCGGCATGTTGTCAGGGCTCCGTCCCCGAAGGGGGCTCACACACTGTGCGCCTGCTGTCCAAATCTTCTCCCCGCAACAACGACCCTGCAGGGTAGGCTGGGCTGAGAGCCTGTGGCTGGCCTGAAGCCGGACCCGGCCTAAGGGGCAGGACCACAGGGGACACCTCAGATACGAGGGCACCTGCCCACAGTGTCCTACTCTTGTGTTGCAGTGGCTGATGGGATCCCAGTCTCCAGCAGCCAGACCTCGCGCTCGCCCCGCAGCAGGAGCTTCTCCGAGCAAGAACGCGGGGCTGCCCGCCGCTTTCGCCCCTCACCGCGCGAGTCGGTCTCCTGCGGCCACACGAGCCCCAGGCCACGTCTGCCCCACTGCGCACCCCCCTCCCCTGAATAAACCGCGCTCACAAACACAAACGCCGCCTCGGGCTTCTCTGGGTAGCCGTCGCAGGGCGATTTTGGGCATTTTGGACAGATTTTGCAGGCGTTCCCCAGACCCCCCCTTCCAGGGGTCCGGCAGAAGCGCCGATGCACCGCAGGTATCAGGGGACCCCTCCGAGCCAACACTGTGAATTTGGAAGTATTCGGCCAACCTGCCCTTTGCAGACCCTTTCGGGGCCGTGACCTGCGGGTCAGCAGCGCGGCCCAATTTTGGGCATTTTGGACAGGTTTTCCTGGCCCTCCCCAGATGCCACTTCCAGGCCTCCAGCAAAAGTCCTGGCGCTCCTGCGGTGCCAGGGCCCCCCGTGACGAGACGCTCTGGATTTGGAAGCCGTCTGTCCCCCTGCCCGTTCTGGCCCCTTCAGACGTCAGGCCAGACGCCGTGCTGGGTTTGGAACCGCTGGCTGCGCGCCTGCTTTTCTGCCCAGGAGCACGAGCAGAGTTTTCCCCTCGGAACGAAGCCAGGCTCGCCTCCACATGGGGTGCCCCGAATCCTCTTCTCGGAGCCCCTCGTCTTCTCCCAGGGAGGCAGGGCAGCCTCAGACGGAAGGAAGGCGGGAGAGGCGGGGGGAGACCTGGCCCCCAGCAGCCGGCCCGGGCCTAGAAGCCTCGCGCTGTGCAGAGCATGCGTGGCAACTGGGGGGAACTGGGCGAAGCACTGGGCGATCTGGGACAGACCGGGTGAGCAGGCTGATGCGAACTGTTGTGCCGCTTCGGGGGGGGGCACAACTGCAGAGCTGCTCCCGCGCCCACTCCCGGCTTCCAGGAGGGAGCAGAGGCGGCACCTCCATCGCCCTGCCGGAGCCTGGCTGGGACCCGGCCCTCCGCCGCGCGTCCCTGGGGCGCCCAGGGCGGAGGGCAGCGGCTGCCGGGGCTTGTCGGTGCCTCCGGGGGGAGCCTCCCCACTGCCCCCCCGGCTCCTCGGAGCAGCGCTTCCTCCAGCTGGCCTCCAGCCACATGTCCACGTCGCCTGTGCCAAGCGGCTCTTCCCGCGGGGCCTCCCCCTCCCCACGGGCCGGCCGGGCCACGTGCTCCTGCCAGCCGCTGCCACGTGGTCCGTGCCCTCACCCCCCCGGCCGCTGGGGGAGAGCGGAGGCGGGTGCAAGGAGACCTGCAGGGGGGGGGGGCAGGCCCCGCACCCTATAAAGCCGGGCTGCCCCGGCACGGGCCCCACCCTCTGCCTCTCAGCGCCAGCGTAGCCTCTGCCTGGGAACGAGGGAGTGGCCACGGGAGATGAAGGTCTGCTTGGTCGCGCTGGGCATCGCCCTGCTCTGCACCGGCTCTGCCGTGGTGTACGACGCAGAGCGCTGCCCCCCGGAAAAGGTAACGACCCCAGGCTGGTGGGCCAGGAGGGGCAGGGCTTCTCCGAGGTGCTCTGGACACCCCCTGCCCTTTGGAGAGCCCCCAAGGATTTGGCTCCCCTTTGGAAGGGCTCCAGCATGAGGTCACGGTGAAGCACATTTGCACAGCGGAAATGGAAAAGGGCAAGCATCGCTCGGGTGGTCCCAGGTGTATCTACCCAGGAGTGACTCCGAGCCAGCGTTTCTGCTTGCACAGGGGGCACCCCGGAGGGGCTGTGCCGCCCCATATGCTGCAGCGAGGGGTCTCCCAGCCACTCCCAAAATCCCCCGCTGTTCCGGGGAGAATCCCTCCCTGCTGGCCCACTAAGCCCAGGTTGTTCTCTTCCCTGGCTCTTTTGAGGATGGGGGTGAAGCGCATCGCTTGGCTGTTGGATGCAAATGCTTCACAGCGATGGACCATCAAGGCGCGATTTATCCTGTGAAACCACTTCTCCCAAGGTTGCAGTACCCATAAAATGCATACAAAGTTGGAATATTTCTGAAAATAATACTGAGAAAGTGTTAGAGTGGAGAAAATGGATTGCAGAAATGTGTACTGGGGGAAGGGGGCAAGCAAAAGAGGAGGGAGGCATCCCAACTTTTTTCTTCATGTCATCCTCGCTTTGTCTGCACAAATTGGAAATCCAGGCCAGAATGCCTCTCTGAGCCTACCAATTAATCCACAGGAAGGGCGACTCGGTTTGCGTGACTGGTAAGGGCAAATTAAGGACTGGGCTAAAGCTAGGAGCCCACTGCCCTTAATACCTCTGGGAAGACATTGCGATCACGTCTGGCACCGTGCAGGACTTGAACAATTCAAACTATTTCCTTTGGTTAAAAAGCAGCTTCAGGAGGTTCTCTCCCATCGTCTTTAGAAATATTAGAATGTTAGGCTTGCCCCAGAAGGCTGTTTTTTGAGCCCACGCTGCGTCCACCTGGGACGGATGCTTACTGAGCTCAGGGAGCCGAAAAAGCACCTTTTGGGGGCACCTCGACTCGAGCTGAGGTGGGAGCCCCGGCGGAGGGGCTGCCCGCACAAGCCCAGGGTGGGACCCCTCTCCTGGGGGAGCTTGGATGGCTTTTCGCTGGGCTCTCCCATGCTTCTGGAAGGGCTCCTCTGGCAGGCCAAACGTCTTCTGCCTCCAGCTTCTAGGGGGCTGGTACCTGCTCGCCTTCGCAAGCAACTGCTCGTGGATGATGAGCCATCTGGAAGACATGGAAATGGTGTTGGCTACCTTCAGCATAACTGAGGAAGGGACCTTCCGAATTTCGACCAACGTCCCCACGTAAGCTCCTCTGCCGGGGCCCTCTGTTCTGTTTGCCGCGGCCATTCCTGAGAGGCAGAACGTGGCAGGCCGTGACCGTGGAGGAGGGTTGCCCAGTCGCTCGCTAGAGGAGAGCTGCTTTGGCTGTGAGCACCACCTCGGTGTCTCCCACAGCGGCTTGGCCGCGGCCCGTCCCCCAGGGATGGGGGCGGCGGTCCAGCCCTCGTGCATTTCCTGCGCCTGAAACAGGAGAGCGGAGCCCAGCACGGGGCACAGTGCAGGGGGTCCTTTATCCTCGGCCCGGGAATGGAATGGCGGCATCATCGTCCCCCCCAGGGCAAATTTGGATGCTGACACGGCCCCGTTGCCCTTGGAAGCAAAGCGGCCTGGTGCGCGTCTCCCCGTGGCTCAGGACACCTCTTCTTGCCTTCTCTTGCAGGCCATTTGGATGCCAGAACGTGGAGATAGACTTCGAGAGGCGGGAAGATGGGGCGCTCGTCGGCTCATCCGGTCCGTGCGGGGGAAGCGGTGGCTCTCTGGAAGCTTGTTGTGGGGCGCCACTCTTGTCCCCACTGCAATCTGCTTTCAAAAGAGGGGTGTATGCCCCCGAGGTGCTTAGGGCACCGATTTTGGCAGGGGGAGGTTTTCAAATGGCCCCATAATGGTTTTGCAGCCCCAAGTCATGGTTTTTAAAAGTTGTGGGGCTTTTGCGACATCAAGGAAGAGCGGCTTTCTTGTGGGGCTACATCTCGCTCTTCTCCCAGCCTGCCCCACAGCGCAAGACATCGGTCCAGCCATTAACGGGCACTTCTGTCCTTTCCCGCAGCCTGGGGCGAGCAGACGGTGGACCTGGCGAGGTCGGACTGCAAGAGCTACATGATCAGCGTCATCAGGAATGAGCTGGACGGGAGCAGCACCATGGCCGTGACGCTCTACGGTGCGTGGCCAGCCAGCTCCCGGCCGTCCCCTGGAGGGGAGAAGTGGCTGGGGCAGCGCCAGCTCGTTTGCCCGCCGCAGCCGCTTTCGGCCCCTTTCGGTCAAGGGGGTGGCAGTCCAGCGCAAGGACGCTTGGTGGAGTTGCCGGGAGCTGCCCCCCCCCCCTTGCACTTTCAAAAGCACAGGCCGCTCTCTGCCAAAAGCCCGCTCTTCTCAACATTCACCCAGTAGAGCATTGCCAGGGAAGAAAGAGTCTCTGAGCATGTGACTTCGAGGACCCTCCTTCGAAATGATGCAGCTCCCTGTCCCTCTGGGAGAGCCCTTCTGGAGCAGGCCAGCCCCCGGGCAGTGCGCCCCCTCTAGTTGGACGGCCTTCTCTCCTGTCCCCGTGACCTGTGCCAGGCCCTCTGGCCCCCGGGTTGCTGGCCCGCGCCCCTTCCTGGCAGCTGCAGGCCATGGCTGTGCTCCAGGTTTGCCCGAACCCCCAGGGAAAGCGGCCCTGTGATGCGCCCAGTGCCCCGTGGCACGACGTGAGTCCTGCCCCGAGCGGGGAACATGGAGGGCCGAGGACTCAAGGCTCGCCCCTGCTCTCGTTGGCGCAGGCAGGACTCCGTACATGACCCCAGAGACCGAGCAGATGTTCATGAAGCTTGCCAAGGAGCTGGGCATGAGCGACGAGCAGATCCAGAAGATGGCCCCAGAACGTAAGAACGGGACGCGTTCAACAGCGGGGCTCCCAGCAGAGCAGCCCCGGGGTTCCCTGTGCAACGACCCGGGGCATCAGCCAGGGCGCCTTGGGTGCCATCTCTGCAGAAGAGTCCAGTGGCTCCCGGAAGTGCAGGGCCCCCCCGCTGCCAGCTGCGGCCGGGTGCCTCTCCTCCGGGAACCCATCCGGAGGCCCTGCCCGCCACCCTCCGTGTCCCAAACGTGGCACAGGTGGGCCTCCATGGGAGGAAGACACGGTCGTTCGGGGCCACAGGCTCGGCTTGGGGATGGTCTGCTGGGGAAAGGCGGGCGCCGCAGGGAAGGCGGCATCGCGGGGGTCCCGAGAGGCTGTCCGGGAGACAGGCACAGGCGTAATTTCGGGGAGGGGGGGAACATGCACGCCAGCAGGTGAGCAACAGGGGCCTCTCCCTCTCCCGGCTTTGCCCCCCCCCCGTCCTCAGCCTCTCAGATACAATCATTCCCCCTTCCCCATATTTTGTTTTCACAGCGGCCTGCATAAAAAAAGAATAGGTGAGTGTCTACAGCATGGGGGGGGGAGGGTTGTAATTTGACGCTCAGGCGAAGTGAGCATGTGCAGAACGCCCCCCACTCCCTCTCACGCACCTTCTGCCTTGCAGGTGATGAAACCAGAAGCGAAGAGCCGCTCAGACATCGCCACTGATGCTTGGAGGCCTCCCTGTCTGCTCCGTGCCCTTGGGGGGCTGGAAGATGCCTCACGCTCTTAATAAATAGATTCAGACCCTGCAGCTCCAGTTCTTGTGTGTCTGGGGAGGGGGGGAGCCCTGGCTCGGCAGCCGGCCCCACGGCGGGCTGAAACGTCCCCCTTCCTCAGAGGATGCACCCGCCGGGATCAGGCAGCAGAGTCACACGTGGGCTGTCTGCGCTCAAAGAGCGGTGCCAACTCTGCGCCCGAGTGACGGCTGGGAGCGAGTCCAAGGACAACCCGGCAAAGGGCGGTCCTGGGAGATGGCAGCCTCCGGCTTCCCCGGGCTTGGAAAGGTCCCCTGCCCGAGACCCCGGGACGGCGGAAGCACGCGGCTCGGAGGCTGGCCCTGTGAGACGAGGCCCCCGCTCGCCCGCGCTGGAGCCACGGCGCGCACACCTGCAGGCCTCCTTGGCCCTCTGGCACCTGGCCGGGGAGGAGCCCAGTACAAGACCCAAACGCCCCTCGGCGGCCCACCTCGTGTCCTCACGCAGCCAGCGGGATTCTGCTTGACATAACAATGGAAGCAAATCCCAGTGCTTAAATTCTGAAATGCTACCAGAAGACAATTAGATCGATCACCCAAGCTAAGCAAAAATTACAAAATACCTACATCACAAAAGCGATTATTCCACGGCAGTCACCAGACTCTAAAAGAGAAAACTTTCTAACCATTAAGACTTGGAGCAAGAGAAAGGCTCTTGGCCTGGAGCCAAACAGGGGAGCCTGTTGGTGCTGGGCATGCGTCTCTGGGGAGCTGGCCCCTAATCGGGCGCTGTGGCAGAGAAAGCCCTCCGCCCAGGCCCCCTTCTGCGTCCAGGAGGCAGCGGGCCAGCAGTCTCTCGGGGAGCTCGAGCCGAAGGCCTGCCCTGAGCAGGCGCCGGGCGTGTCGGCTCGTCTTGGATCCTCTCATTCTACACGGGCACCAAGAGAAACAAGCACATGCAGGCGCCCCCTTCCCTCCCTGGCCGTGACGCATCAGGACACTCAAGTGCAGAGCACCCCCTCCCGAGCGTCCCATGATCCACGCAGCCAAAGGCTTTGCTGCAGTCACAGAATCACAGATCGCAGAACCACAGAATCATGGAAGAGTGGAACTGGAGGGGGCCATGAAGGCCATCCAGACCACCTCCTGCTGTTGCAGGACACCAGTTCGCACCATCCCACTCAGAGGGCTGCCCAGTTTCGCCTTGAATGCCTTCTGTGTTGGGGAGCCCCCCACCCCTCTAGTCTATAAAGCACAGACGGATCTTTTTCTGAAATTCTTTGGCAGCCAGCATGTACAGGGGGTGCCAAAATGTATACACATTTTAAGAGCAGTCATCTACGTATTTCTTTGCAAGGTTGAACTGAGTCACAGTCGCAGTGTGTAGCACGATCATGCAAAAGATGGCGCTAATCAAACGAATGCCAGCATCACCATAAGACAGTTTTTAATACAGTCTTTCTTTTCTGAAAATGTGTATACATTTTTTGGCGCCCTCTCTGTTTGCACTGCGATCGCAAGTGCCTCTTCCTTTTCGGAACCCAGCTTGAATGACAGGAATTTCTTGCTGCGTGTAGAGTAATATTTACCTACCTCCACCAAAATCTCCACCCGCCTCAAGCCTAATTGAAGGCATTTCTTAGCGCTTCCAACGATATCACAACGTAATCCATTCTGGGCCTTCAGGAAAAGGCCAGGAGGAAAGGCGAATGTAGAGTTACGTGTCCTAACCAGAGTTTGGGGGAACCAGACCCTACAGATTTGCCAGAAGCCTGGAAGACACCCCTCCCAGGGCGCTAGGCGCAGGACTCGGAAAAGTCTCACTGGGAAAATTAATCCTGGTAGGAATAACGTATTTCCAAATGCGGATGGATGGTGTGAGAAATGAAATGTTACTAAGTGGTAAGGGGAAAACCAAAGAAAGGGTGAAATGCAGGGCTAGGGTGGGATCATTGAAGTCCCTGGAGGCCAAAAGGCCTGAGGACAGAACCACGTAAATAGTCGTACTAAAAGTAATCGTGTTTCTTACATCAAAGTCCTGAAAAATGCCAGAGAGGGTAGAATTGGGGGGCAGCGGTAAAACTGTCCCCGTCAGTGGAAGAGAGTAGGAAATTGTTTGCCTCTTACAACTGGTGATAACGAGCTGGAGGAAGGCCTGTTCGTCCGATCTCATCCTCCCACAAGATTTAAGAAGCAAGTGGGCATCAAGAGAGAAGCTACAAGGCCAAGCAGGTCTGTCGAACTCTTAGAAGGAACTGCGCACGCATGAAGAGCAACTGGCACACCTCTCATAGGTGATGGGCGCATCAGCATGAACATGGGATGCATGAGCGGGAGGGGGACCAGATCGAGGGGTCGTATGACGTAGGCAGACGGAGAAGACTGTACCGATTGAGTAGCCCAGCCAATGGGGAAAAAGAGGCAGGGTCTGCGAGCCGGGAAAAGGGGATAAGAAGCAATGTCTTCTGTGTAAACCGCGCGCTACCTGTGTGGTGGGCGCCCGCTCTTGCAAGAACGAATTAAACTGTACTGCTTGGTACTTTGCCTCCGTATCGTCACTACTGGCATTTACTCCTTACAATGGGGAAGCCTGACCCATGGGTGGAATGAAACTGAGCGCTTGGGGGAACCAAACCTTTTCCAAGTCACACATGAGCCAAGTGTCCGGCCCAACAAGCCCCCTCAGGCAGCACGGCCTGGAGCAGCCCCAGGGAAGGGTGGGCAAAGCCAGGGGGCCTTTTCCTTCTGCAGAAAAGCAAACAGGAAAGCTTGGCCCAAAAGGTTCCCAAAGAAGTAAAGGCAGGAACTCTGCTGCACGGACAAATGTGAGAAAACAAAGAGCGCAGTCGCTCTTCTCGGGTGGCCACGCTCGGATCCACGGGGAGCCCTGAGCCTTCCCGACTTCCGGCTGGCCTTTTCCCTTTGCCACGATTCTAACCTGGTCCTGGACAAGGGAAACGTTTTGCCGGCGGCTGGTGGACCAGGGAATGGCCGACTGGACCACGATGGTGCGACACAGGCTCGGACACGCCGAGTGGCAGCGGATTGCAAGCGCTGCCGCCTCCCCCGGCACTGGCCCCGGCTCCGGGGTGCTGCCAAAGCTTTGCCCCCGGAGCTGCCTGCAGCCCGCTCTCCCAGTAGAAAAACCTCCTCCCACAAGGGAAGGCGGGCCTGCCTTGCACCGAAGGGTTGCTCGCCCTCGTGCCTCTCTCCCCATCGCCTGGACGCCCCAAAGGGAGCGGGCATGCCGGCCTCTCCCCAGGGGCACGTGCCCCTCGCTGCGCGCCGAGCCTCCAAGCCACAGCCACCCTGGGCCAGCGCCCTTCCCTGCCGGCAGGTGATCCGCTCACACACCTGCCGCCCTCTCCGCCCCTCTGCGTTCAGCGAAGCCGCAAAGGGCACCAGCAACAGAGTCGGCAGCTACAGAGGAGGCCGACGCGCACGCCTGCGAGTGAAAGTGCCCTTTGTCTCGCCAGAAAACAGCGCATGACCTGCTGCCCTTCCGCGCATCATGACTGAATGGGCCACTTCTGTCGCGAAGAGAAGCAGCCCCGGGGCAGGGAAGCCGGCCAAGAGCTACCGGCAAGGAGTCAGCGGGATGAAAGCAGGCTCTGTCCTCGGCAGCCACGTCGGCACCGCCAGATCAAAGCCTTGGCGGGCAGCCCTGTGCGGCCCGTCGGTGCATCTCAGCAGATGGGGGGAGGCTGTGCCGGGGGGCCCCCCAAATCACCCCTCTGCACCTTGGTGAACCGCCTGTCTGTTGCTCAGATGGACTGGGTCTGAAGTCACCTTCCCGTGCCCCCAGACCTCGCCGCGTGCTTCCCCCTGAGCCAGGAAGGTGGCTTGGCGACAAGGGCAGCTGTGGTGGAGGCGCCTGCCCCCTTTGGCCAAGTGGCGCCCACAGGGGCCCGGCAGGGGGCAGGGGCTGAGCTGGGCGCTCCGCTTCCACTTCTGCTTCGTGGCCGCGGCCAGGCGAAGGACGGATCCGCCCAGCCCAGGTCCTCTTCACGTCATTCCACTGGCATGCAGAGCATGGGTCGAGCCTCGACGCCGGCTCCGGGAGAGGTTCTGGGCCCGGCGCTCACACACTCACGTGCTGTGTGAAGAGGTGCGTCCGCCTCCGCCTGCCCAGCAGCCCCACGGGGACCAGCGCGACGGAGGAGGGAGGCGAACATCCCTTCCGCCCTGGGTGCCTCCACCTTGCCCCCCCACTCACCTCTTCCCTCGGCTGGCGTGACCCCTGCGGAGAGGAGGGGCAGCGGCCCCAGGCCCACGTTCGGCACCCCCTGCAGCCCCATGCTAGCATTTCATGGGCGCTCACTCCAAGCAGGACGGCCCCGGAGACAGGCTGGCCAGCCTCCCCCTCAAGGCGGCCTGTTCCTTCCCCGTTCGGCTTCTGCTCCCCAGGCCCTGGAGCCGGTGCTGCCGCGCCACCTCTGCCCATGTGGCGAGCACCTGCCCGCCCGCCCGCCCCGAGTCCGCACCCGCGCTGCCCTCCGAGCCGACCGCAGGGCCGGCGGGTGCCGGGGTGGCGCAGCGCTTCGGCGTCTCCCTTTCCTGGTGTTAGATAACCCTTGGTGTTGGTCGCGGGCCAGGTGCCTGCTGGGTCCCCGGCCAAGGCAAACGTCCCCCTGCAGCGGCTCGTTGTGCGGTGTCAGGTCATCCGTCAAAAGGCCCACTGGGGCCACGGTGCCCGTGCCAAGAATAATCCCCCCTCCCGGGGTGGCTGCTGACGTGGCTGCTGGGCAGGGCGGGACGCCAGCCCTGGGCGTGGAGCGGGGTGCTTCAGAGCGGCATAAAAGCAGGAGACCCCGCCGTCACGGCACCAGCGTCCTCCAGCACCGGAGCATTCCCTGTGGTCGACCTGCCGAATACAGAGAAGGATGATGAAGTTCTGTCTGATCGGGCTGGGCTTGGCCCTCCTTGGCCTCTTCCAGGGAGCCACTGGCTTTGCCAGCAAGGAGGTAACAGA